CCCAGCGAGATGGATTGACAAAGTGGCAGCATCAATGGACTCAAGTGTGGCAACAGTAGTGAGGTTGGCTCAGGATCAGGCAGTGTTTCGTTTTGCTGTGCATAAGGTCACTATGGGTCGGTACCTATGGCACCTAGCACAACAACAAATGCCCAAGAGCCAGTCTCCTGCCTGTTGGCAATTGGTCCATGGGTTGTAGGGAATCTCACGGTTCTTAATTCTTTATGGTCTTGGGATCATTTGTTCCTGCTTCTGATATGGCTCCTTTTAAGCCTAGCAGAATGGCAAAACTAACCAATCCTGACGTTAGAGCCCTGTATACCTTATTTGCATGGCCCCACCCAATTGTTTAGAGTCCCTGTGTGGTACTGTGGGTTATTGCGCTGGACTGTAAAGTTGATTTGAACTGAAAGGTTGATGGTTCAAGCTACCAGCTGCTCCTTGGAAACCCTTACAGGGTCGCTATGGGTCGGCACGTAACAACAAACAACAACCCAGTTGTTTGGTAGGAGTTAAAAAGACTTTGGATAGAAATGCATTTACTTTTGGATAAAATGAGTTTACTTATCAAGTAAATTCACGATACCACAGCTGTGCAATCTTTCTATGTAAATTGTATCTAAATTTTATGTGTACCATCTCACAGCTGTATTGTCCTACCTCCTAATTATTGCAGTTTTACTGAGAAAGGATGCTAGAAGTTAAGTGATTTGCCCTTGCCATTGGAGATTCTAGGATACCTGGTAGCATGATGGTTAAGTGCTCAGCTGCTAATCAAAAGGTTTGCAAGTCCAGTCCACCCAGGAGCTTCATGGGTGAAAGACTTGGCAATGTACTCCCGTAAAGATGACCTCCTAGAAAGCCCTGTGGGGCAGTCGGACGCTGTAACGTGGGGTCACTGTGAGTCAGTTGACTCAGTGGCACACACCACCACCATCCAGAGATTCGGGGTACCACCCATGCATGGACTGGGAACTCCTGCCCTTACTGCTCTCACTAGAGCCAAATGTTCAGCCAGAGATTGGTTTCATGTCTATTGTTACAGTACATTTGAGTTGGTGCCAACTCATAGCGGCCCTGCATAGGTTTTTTTAGGCTGAAGTCTTTGCTGGAGCGGAAAGCCTCCTGTTTCTCTCACATAGCAGGTTGTGAGCTCAAATGAACAAACTTGTGTTGCACAGTTCAGTGCTTATCTTACAGAGCTACTTCGTTCCCTGTTGTCTGTCTTTGTTGTTGTTATTGTTAAGTATCATCAAGTTGGTCCTGACTCATAGCATGCTGTATACGGTTTCCAGGGAGTGGTTGGTGAGTTTGAACTGCCGACCTTGAGGTTCAAACCAACCTTTTAGTCTAGTGCTTATCCTGCAGCGCCACACCAGGACTCCTGGTGTAGTCACATATCATTCACAATGGAAAATCCTGCCTGGAGCTGCAGAAGCTGGGGGGTGGGGGCATGTTAGGGATCCTCTGACGGCTGTGTTATAGTGGACAGAAATTCAGGCTTAGGGAGCGGGAAGAGCACTGGCTGGTCAGCTCCAGTCCTGACCCCCTTTCCTACTTGTTGTTGTTATGTGCCGTGGAGTTGGTTCAGACTCATAGCGGCCCTGTACAGGGTTTCCGAGGCTGCAGATGTTTACAGGAGCAGAGAGCCTCATCTTCTGCAGAACAGCTGGTAGTTTCGAACCGCTGACCGTGAGATTAGCAGCCCGATTCGTAACCACTACGCTACCAAAGCTCCTTTCCTACATAGTAGCAGATAAATTTGGGCAATTCAACCAAAGTCAGAGCTTCAGTTTGTCTACTTCAACTGGAGGTAGGCGGCCTACTGTGCCTCCTTCATAGGTCTGCTCGGAGGACTGAGGCGAAGATGGGAGGGCACTCTGAAAACCATGGCTTTGACCTGACCGTGTTCTGGAAGTCCTGGCAGTTGACTTCTGAACAGCTCACTCTGGTGAGGCAGTGGCCACGAGAGCTTCCCTCTTTCTGAGTCTTGTGGGTTTGCAGGGAAAGGGAGTCTACCGCTTTTCACCAGCTAAGTTTGGACTTAACCTGGCTTGTAAGAAGAACTGGCATCTGTGTTAGGGTTGAAAAATTGGTAGCCTGCACGAATAGCAGCTTGGCAACAGCCTTCCTGTATGTGCCAGGAGAGGCAGCAGTCGCCCTCCGGGAGGCCAGGCCTGCCAGGCCGAGTTGTACTTTTTCATTAAGAGTGAGGCATCTCCTAGACCTGTAGACAAGGAGTGTAAATACACATTGAAATGATCTGTCAGTCCAGTGCCTCCCCTGCATCAGACCTTGGAGAGAGAGCGCTTCAGCTACGGCTTCGAATACCGCTAAGCTAGCAGAGTTGCCTAGGATACCGGTCACATGGGCCCATCTTCCAGACTTGCTTGAGATGATTTATTTTCCTTTATTTTGGAGAGAAGTGGGGGAGGGTACTTGCCAAGCCTGGCAGAGGCGGATAGAGACCCTTTGTGTCTGGTTGGCCTCTCTTCCCTCTTCTCTAGGCCTCTGCAGACCTTGCCCTTGGCACTAGGGACTAAAATCGCATTTCCTGCCCAGACCTCTTCCCCATTTTCAGAGCTCTGCATCATCCACACAGAGGAGACGCCACAGTGTGTCTTTTGAGAAGGAGGGAGTGGCAGCAATGAGTAGGGAGACGGTTGGAGTGTATGTGGCTGGGTGACTGCGGAAGAGAAGTCGGTGGACTCCTTCGGTTAACCGCGGAGTGGCTGTGTTTATTCTTCATGCCAGAGCACATGTCCTCTCCTCTCAGGGTCCCTAGACAGTAACCCCACTCTTCCACCAGAGACCTTTAAACAGAGGTATCACATTGGTAGAGCTTGCTGCTGGCTGGTCTACAGATAAGAGAGAGATGTGCCCCATTTCTACTTGCTGATTTTGTTTAAGGAGACAAAAGCCCAAGGAGGAATTGTGTCATGATCGAGGAACCTCCAAACTAAGGAATTCCATCCGTTACTGTGGACAGCATCTGCCTTCAGAGTCCCCAGAAGATTTCCTAAGAGTGAAAAGTCAAGATGAACTCAGTGACCTCTCCCTGCATTCTCATGCTTTCTCCACAGGCACCTTTGCTTGTGTGTGTGGCTGTGTCTCCGAGAGAAAGGAGCCTTTGGAAACTGCGATGCCGCCACCCTCAGACATCGTCAAAGTGGCCATCGAATGGCCAGGTGCCAATGCTCAGCTCCTGGAAATTGACCAGGTAAGCCCCCGAAATGAGGAGCAGTGTCGCAAGGGGAGGGGTCTGCGGGAAATCTGGTGAAGGATGTCCTTAGGGACAGAGACCACTGGCGTGAGAGGTAAAGAGTCGGTAGCAAGAGGTTGAACTTTATGATGTCCTCGCTAGGGAAGGTCAGTCAGCAGGGCTTCAGAGGGGCACTCCTTCAACAAAAACTACCAGGGGGAGAGGTCTATTCCTGGGCCCCTTGTTGACCTTGCTTGGCATCTTCTCTCATCAAAACCTGGGCTGCTGGAGACAAATCTCTCTCTTTCTCTTTCAGAAACAGCCCCTGACATCCGTCATCAAGGAAGTTTGTGATGGGTAGGTTGGAACTGCCTTGTTTGGGACAGTGGAACACTTGAAGGGAATTCTGCCAGTTGATCCGCAGTATGGGGTTTTCATGGATCATGGCAGGGTTGACAAGGCTGACCCTAAGACCTCCTAGCAATGTTTTTTTCCCACTGTAAGTTCAGGAATGTCCCACTGACCTCCTGGTAGGAGCTGAGACCTGTACTCAATTGTTCACACTTCTTATTGTGGCGAAAACCTTTCCTAAAGGCTGCGTTGGTTATTTTTCAACATCTCAGCCTAAAACTTTGCATTTCACTCACACACACATACTCATACACATACAGTCTCTCTCTCTCTCATCCTCTGAGTACAAGCCATTGAGCCTTTGAATAACTCTATTGAAAAGTATTGATTTGCAGCTTCTGAGCCAGCCACGAAGCAGGGCTGACTGGGCTGTGTACTGTCTCTTTTGCATAGATGGTCATTGCCAAACCCAGAATACTACACCCTCCGATATGCAGATGGGCCTCAGCTCTACATCACTGAACAGGTCAGTGCAGAGAGAAGCAAAATTCATCCAAGCCTTGCTTTGAAGGGAACCTCACAGGAGGTGGTACAATTTTGCTTACCCAGCGCGCAGGTATCTTCCGTTTCCCAGGGCAGAGTGGGCAGTGCCTTTCCTTGTTCTCTGGTGACTGGAAAACTTGGCTTTTCCCCCTGATTACCCAGTGGATTGGAAAAGAAGCCAGGGACCTCTGTGCCAGGGAACAAGTAGCAGAGGCCTGACAGAATCTCACTTACAACTCCCGTACGAAGGACAGAGAGCTCTCCTGGAGTCAGCTTCCTTGCACGGTCTTCTGATTTGATGTTAGTAATTCCTTTTTCTCGTTGTTACCCAGACACGCAGTGACATTAAGAATGGGACCATCTTACAGCTGGCCATCTCTCCGGTAGGTATTCTGTTTCATCAGAAATTCTTCCCTTTAACATTTAGAAGCACCTATCATGGGCCAAAAACTAGAGCTTGTTGTTATGTGCCGAAGTGTCAATTCCGACTCTGTACTGACAAACTAGGAGAGAGTAGGACTGCTCCAATCGGGGTTCCTAAATGTACATTTTTATGGGAGCAGATAGTCAGGTGTTTTCTCCTGGTGGATTCGAACTGCCAACCTTTTGTTGGCAGCCAACCATTTAACCATTGGGCCACTAGGGTTCCTAGAAACAAGGACTACAGAGATTAAAAAGTCAGTCTGAGCTCTCACAGCACAATGGAGTGTACAAACAGGATACCAGGGCTTTCTCAAAAGATCTAGAGAGAAAGTTACATAGGTGCTAGGGGAACACAGAAATGGGACCATCTGCTTCCTTTCAAGAGAAGGGGATACGTAGCCCAGATGTGGAAGGAGAAGCAAGAATTCGCTGAGGAAAGAAGAAAATGAAAAAGTCTTCCCAGTAGAGAGCTCGGCGTGTGCTGAATCACCGAGGTGCGGGGCCCGTGTCGTGTGCACCAGTGAAAGGCCATGAGTGAAGGGCCATGCGTGGCTTGCTCTCGGGCTGGGTTTTATCCTGAAGGAAATGTGGAGGCCATGGAGGATTTTAAGCAGGAAGATGTGTCACGTGTAGATGTATGTTTCAGCAAAATCACTTCAGTGGCAGTGTGGGAGAGAGGCTACAAGAAGGCAGGCTGGTGGTCTGAGGCCGTATGAAAGGCCCGTGAGGAATGTTAACAGCCCATCGAAGCAAATAGCAATGCAGGTGAAATGATGTACATGAAACATCTAGGTGAGAGTATAAGGTGACACCTGCTTTCAGCAAGAGTAGCTCGTCAAGGTACCTGAGGAGGAAGCAACCAGAAGGGGGAGGAAGAGAGCCAGGTGTGTGAAGTGGCTCAGGCAGTAGCCTATATGGGGCTTCCGCATGGAGGAAGGTGCAGTTTCTAATGAGCAGAGAGAGGCCGGTGAAGTGAGGGCAAAAAAGCTGTTTGTTGACCTCAGAGGTCAAAGGGTCACTGGTGATGTTCAGGAAAGCAGTTCTGGGGGCGTCATGGGGTGGAAGTCAGGCTGCAGTGGGTTAATTAAAGGAAGGTGAAAAAGTGAGAGCTTCGATCGCATCACCTGATCAAGAAGCTTCCTGATGAAAGGAAGCAGACAGGGTGGTTCCTGAAGGGGTGTGTAGTTGAAAAGGTGAGCTTTGTGGTGTTTTTTAAAATAGATACACCATTACTATGTTTCAAAAATCAAAGACTTTAATAAAGATCTAGTGAAAGATCTCCCTCCTACTCCTGTCTCCTACCCAGCTCCTGATCTCTCCCACCCCTCACAGTTGTGAATTTCTGTTGCAGTTTTTTTATATGTCCTTAAAGATGGAAGAGACTTGAGTCTGTTTTAAAAATGATAAGAAAGAGTCAGCAAAGAGGGGAGCGTGAAGGGATGAGGTCGAAGGAGCAGATAATGGAATAGCATCTAAGTGGGTCGAGACAGACTCTACGCTCAGGTGGAGGGATTCACCTCGGCTCCTCAGCCCCCAAGGAAGAAAATGGCCGGGGTGTCATTCAGTCAGTTTGTTGACGGACTACCAGCAAAGTCAGTACATGGTGACCCTTGTTTTCTCAGTGAGAGGGAAAGAGGTAAAGATGTGTGAAAGTAGGAAATGTTTAGGATCAAACGTTTAGGATCCCCGGGAGGAGAATGAAACTATCACGGTTCATTTGCAGAAGCTGGTGCCTTGAATTGCTAGTGGGCCCCATTCTGTTTGGTTATGAGGTTATTCTCTAGAAAGGCCTGAATATCACTACTCGTGGGCCAGGATGTAAGGAGGCCTGGTGCCACTGTAGGACAAGCACTGGAATGCCAACTGCAAGGTCGGCAGTTCAAATCTACCAGCATCTCCTTGGGAGAAAGATAAGACTTTGTGCTCCTATAAAGATTTACAGCCTCAGAACCTCTATGCAGGGTCACTGTGAGTCAAACCTGACTCGACAGCTCCTAACAACAACAAAAAGGCCAGGATGGAAGGAGCCTGGTGGTGCAAATGGTTCAGCACTCAGCTGCTCACCAAAAGACTGAAGGTTCGAGCCCACCCAGAGACTCTACTGGAGAAAGACCTGATGGACTGTTCCCGCAAAGGGGACAGCCAAGAAAACTATATGGGGCAGCTCTGTTCTGTCACACGGGGTCTCTGTGAGTTGGGATTGATTCAGGACATCCAACAGCAGCAGGCTAGGATGTGGCTCTAAGGGCTTATTTCTTCTGTAATCACCAGCGTCCTTCACTGGTACCTTGTATCCATTACACTGTTGCATTCTCACAGACACCTGATGAGGTGGGTACCCTGAATTGCCCCATTTTGCAGCCTGGGAAAGTGAGGCTTGGGGAAGGTAAATAACTTGTCACACATCTACAAAGTGGCAGGCCTGGCTCTCACACCCACCAGGTGCCCTTCTGCTGTCCTGTCCTCCTGGCCTCTTCTCATCGTCGGGACTTCACTCTTTGTGTCAGTTCTGCTCATTTGGTATAAAGCCTGGGGTTGCTTTCGCGGAAGTGCCTGAGCATTTTCACAGCCCTCTTGCCAGGAATGGTTTGCTTTTCCCAGAAGCACATCTCTCCCCAGAGCAGGAGGTAGTAGCCCAGAAATGCTGTCTCAGGAGGGAAATTGACATTTGGAGTTGTAAGTTTCTAGTGAGCTACAGACCAGTGCTCTTCAAATTCTTCTATCCTGTGACCTTTTCTCACACATCACAGTCCTCACCTTAGAGAAATGAGGGGATTTCCGTAGCATGGAGAGCTGGTGTTAAATCCCAGGAGAAGAGAGGAGGGCAGAGGGGAAAGGGAGGGGCAGGCCTCGACTCCTTGACCAGGAACAGGGACTGATTGGAGTTACATGCTTGGCAATGTGAGGGAAAATAAAGCAGGAGTGCCTTTGCTCCCAACGCGTTTACCCATTGCTCTGTAGGGCTTTCTGAGTAATTGTCACGGAAGTAGGTTGCCATCCCTTTCTCCCACAGCACTTCAGCGTGGGTTTGAATCGATGACCTTTAGGTGGTAGTTGAGTGTCTTTCTTTCTCTTTCCTTTTGGTACCTCCATTCTTAGTGAGAATGATGGAATGTTAGATTGTGAGGCACTCCCCTGGTAGCATAGTGGGTTGTGTGTTGGAGTGTGAATGTCAGCAGTTTGAATCCACCAGCCGCTCTGCAGGAGAAAGATGAGGCTTTCTGTTCCATAAAGATTTACAGCCTTGAAAGCCCTATATGGGGTCGCTCTGAGTCAGAACCAACTTCACGGCACACAGCAGCAGCAGCACAGCCTGTAACTTGCTTAAATTCCGCAAAAGGAAAGCTAGCAGAGGGCTTTTAGCTGTAGCTGCAGAAAGGAGGCAAACCTTCTGGAAAGTTCATTTCATAGGAAGTTTTGCTTTAGCCAACCAACGTTTTCCAAAAGCGATTTTGAAATGAGCTCCTTCAGGCACCTTGATATGCTGAAGTTTCCTCAGCTCATTCACTTTGAGGAACATTGATAGGGACTTTGAGAGAAAGGTGCAGAAAGAAAAACACATTAGGGTTATCCCAGTTGAAGAATGAGACGGACCTTAAAGGTTAGCTGTTGAATTCTCCATCCAATGCAGGAATGTCTTCTATGACATCTCTACCACGTGGTTGGCCCGATTCTGCTTGATGGCTTCCCGTGACAGGGAGCTGAGCACTTCAAGAGACAACAGGGTCTGCTATCTGACAGGTCGAGTTTTAGGGAACAATTTTTTGTTCTATGTTGAACAAGCGCAGTTAGTCCTCTGTATTCATGGGTTCTGTTCCCCCAGATTCAACCAACCAAGCACGCATTAAAATGAGAAGGGGAAAAAAAGCAATCTGTCAAAGGCTTAGAGAGAGCATGAAGTGCCCATTTATACTAGGTACTAGAAGTGATTTAGAGGTGGAGTAACGTATGCGGGAAGGTATGTGAAGGTTATATGCAGGTACTAGTTTATTTGATGTAAAAGTCTTGAGCACCTATAGATTGAGGTACCTGTCCATGGGTGTGGCCCTGGGACAGTTCCTGGTGGATACTGAAGGAGGACTGTCTCTATTTCTTTGTGACTTGTCCTAGTTAGGTGGGACTGTGACTGTCCCATCACCCTCTGTGTTCCCTTAGTGGAGAGTTTTTGATCCATAGACCAGAGGGGTTCAGAGAGGATACAGATGTCTACAGATTGGTCTTGGCACACTGGTAATTCATTCCGTGGCCGAGTCAATAAATAGTTGTTTAGTAACTCTGAAGCATGGGCAGTCCTGGTTTGGTGCTGTGGGACAAGCACTGAACTGCTAACCGCAGGTTGGTGGTTCAGACCCACCAGCTACTCCTCGGAAACCCTCGATGGCACTTAACAACAACATGTAGTGTGAAAAGCTAGCCCAGCTCCAGGCTTGAATGTTCACAGAAGGACCCTGCTGAGCTGCCTCAGGGAACAGATGGCATGTGTCTTGTCCCTGCTCTCACAGTCCCGGGCTGCACGCCAGCTGATGGAGAGGACCCAGTCGTCCAGCATGGAGACCCGACTGGACGCCATGAAGGAGCTGGCCAAGCTCTCTGCTGACGTGACCTTTGCTACCGAGTTCATCAACATGGATGGCATTGTTGTCCTCACACGGCTTGTGGAGAGTGGAACCAAGCTCTTGTCACAGTAAGTGTTATATGCCTGAGGCTGGCAAAGACTCTCCATGTGCCACAGGGTGTCCTGGTCTCATTTTCCACTGAATGCCTTCTGTATACAGAGCAGTGTGTCAGGTACTAGGTCCACACCCATTAAAACATATTGCTGCCAGGTCATTGCAACTCCAGGTGACCCTAGAGGACAGAGCGGGACTCACCCTAGGGTTTCTGAGGTGGTAATCTTTACGGAAGCCAGCTGCCACACTTTCTCCCTTGGAGTGACTGGTGGGCTTGAACTGTTACCAATTCAGTTAGCAGCCAAGGACTTAACCACAGTGCCACCAGGGCTCCTTCGGGTCCACATAGAGAGGCAGAATTCACTATCATGGTCCTCAATCTTGTAGTCCAGTTGGGAAGACAGTGCAGGCTCTCACACAATAAGTAACAGTACCAGACGGCACACGGCTAAGTGCCAAGTGAGTGGTAAAAATAGGGGCTCAATAAGCCAAGGAAGAGAGGAGCCTGTTGGTTTCTGGGAGTTGTTTGGCATGGTGGGGGTTAGTGAGCAGACTGCCTGTCCATTCTCCACCAGCCTGGGCATCTGTTCCTAGCCATTTCCTTCCTCCACATTACCTCCCTACCCCAACTCTGCACACATACGTGCACACAGAGGCACACAGACCCAAACAAACATGAGCTTTCCTTTGTATCTCCCTGTCACACATTTTCACATTTACACCCAGACAGACCATTTTTACTCCAGCAGAATGTTGAGAGGAATGATGTAGGCAACTACGCTTGGTGATCAGCCTTGAGTAAACAGGCGTCTTGTTGTTAAGTGCCATCGAGTCGATTCCGACCCATAGCGACCCTGTATAGGGTTTCCAAGGAGCAGCTGGTGAGCTTGAACCATCGACCTTGCAGTTCAAATGGCTTTGCAGTCTGGCACATTAACCCATAGCACCACATAGGCGGCTTAGGTCCCGTCTAAGCTTGTGGAACCTGAGATGCAGAGAGGGGAGTCCGAAATCCCTCAGCTGAGGCATCAGCTATTGAGCTTGTCAGTCAAACTGAGCAACGAATGTAAGTCTTGGATCCTCAAGTCGCACTGGGGTCCTGGAGCCTTGGTCAGCCGTCTGCACTGACGCAGCATCTGTGCCGTCTCCTAAGAGTACGCATCGGGACTGGCCTTACTTCCCCCTCTTTAAAATGGGGACGATAATACCTACGTCGCAGTGTTGTTGTGTGGAGTTTTGTTCGTGAGAGAGTGTACGTGAACATGCTCTGTAGATAGGAGTGTGTTCTGCCCATTGTAGAGCTAAGTATAGACATGAAGGGATGACGCAGGTAAGGAGGGAGAGAAAAGAGAGTTGTTGCTCTTCGAAGGGCTTTGCACACGTTGTCACCTGGCTCTCACCACAGCCACCTGAGGTTAACGCTGGGAGATTCACTCAGTTTTACACAGGAAGCGATTCAAGTCCGAAATGGTAAAACCTGCACTAAGTAATTGGCTGAGTAGGAAATGAGCCCATGTCTGTACCTTGCCTTTTCTCCTGCCCCCAGTAACTCTGAAGCATGGGCAGTCCTGGTTTGGTGCTGTGGGATAAGCACCCAGGAGGGGCCCCTACCTCGTGTCGGTGTGACAGGGGTCACTCACCCAGCACCTTTTCCTCTGGGTGGACTCAGCTGCATGTACACGTAGGCACTTACTTAGTCTCAGCTCTTCAACTGACTTTTCACCGGTGAAACTTCCCTGGTGTTACCGCTTTCCTCCTGGGTTCCTGGTTCTGAATCTCTATTGCTTTGTGTGTATTTTGCACATGTCTCAGCTACAGTGAAATGCTGGCATTCACCCTGACTGCCTTCTTAGAGCTCATGGACCATGGCGTTGTCTCCTGGGATCTGGTCTCAATCACCTTTATTAAGCAGGTGAGGCCTCCAACGTTTTCTCTTACTCTGGGTGTGAGTGGCGGAGATGCAGACAATACAGCCATTCTGGGGAGGGTCAGTTTCATGTTTCCGGGGCCCAATTCCTCCTGCTCAGCCTCTGGTCTTCCGCTCCTGCAAGGATTCCACTTAGACCTGCACTGGGGAGAAGGAGCTGGTCTCCAGGACTGAACATGCGCAGAGCGGGAGTAGGTCGTTCATGAGACTTGGAATAAAACCAGCCTGTCAACCCTTCAGTCTTCTGACCTGCATTCTAGGCTCTCTTTTCTCTTTAGATAAAGACTATTCATTTGCCTCCTGTTTATAAACCCAAAAGATAGCCTGATTGGATTGTCACATTGAATTCAGTGAGCAAGCGGAAGGTGCTAAGAGTACTTTTAATTTTGCCCTCTTTTCTTCTACCACAAGGAGCAGCCTAAATTCAGAAAATGCAATGAAGACCAGTAAATCTTATATCCAGTGACCTAGAGTTGCCTCATCATTGAGCTGGAATGTCAGCAACTTCTGCCACTGGAGATATTTGTACAAAAGTGAAATGACCATGTGTCAATGTTATTATAAAGGGATTGAGAAGAGGGATCTGATGAAAGCTGTGCTGATGTGTTCCACCTCCCCACACCTAGGCTGTGTAGAGGGAGAAGTTGTGTATGTTTGAAGAAAGAAGCACATGTCAGTAAAATGAAATCCCAGTGTCAGTAAAATCCTCTGCTTGTTAGACTCAGCTTTTCCACACCAGAACGTTTATTTGGAAAGATGAGAGCCTTAGATTTGGAGGTGGCACAATGGAATAGAAACTAACCTGAGATTGCGTTACACACTCAGCTGTAACCCAGGGAACCCCTGGCACATTGGTATCAGGCACCACGCTACTGTGTAGATTGTCAGACTGAACTCAGGGGTGGGAGCGGGTGAAGAGTACTTCTGATTTTGCCCCCTTTTCTTTTACAACAGGGGGCAGTGACAGTTAAGAAAACTAATGGACAATCCACTAATTTGTGGACAGCTGCCCAGATGTAGGCCTCATGCCTAAGAGGAGAGTGCCTTTATGGCTAACATAAGATTCCCCAGTTGTCCAGCTTTCAGACCTGATTTGCCTCCTCTGGTTTTAGATTGCAGGGTACGTTAGCCAGCCAATGGTGGACGTGTCGATCCTTCAGAGGTCCCTGGCCATCCTGGAGAGCATGGTCTTGAACAGCCAGAGTCTGTACCAGAAGATAGCAGAGGAAATCACCGTGGGACAGCTGATCTCACACCTGCAGGTGTGAGTAAGGACCCTGTCCCATCCTTCACTCATCTCTTCTCTTAGTTTAAGTCTTCTAGTCTTTCCTCTGCTGTGTTCCTGTTCCAAGCAGCTGGTCTGTTGATTCATTCATTGGTGACCTCGTCCACACCACTGCCAGAATTCTTCCTGAAACAAACATGATCAGATCTTACTCCTGCTTAAATGCCTTACTAACTGTCCTCAGCCCATAGGGTAAAGTCCTCTCTTACCACCATGGTACCTGGTAATCTCTGTTTATATTTATTGTAATATTTGTACGAAATCACTGTGTTTTCTTGGTCCATCTCCCATTTTAAACCTTGAGTTCCTTGAGGACGGGGACCATTCATTTTTGCAGCACCTGTTTTAAATTATGTGGAAGCTCAGTGGGTGTTTTGTTGAATGAGTTTTTACTGAACAGGATGCTGTGGAGGTTAGTTAACAAGAAGTCTCATATATAGGATCCAAATTCAAGAGGATCCCAGTTCCAACCCTGGCTTCACTGCTGTCACGGATTGGATATGTGTCAGCCTGGCTAGGATGTGGTCCTCAGTGGTTTGACAGTTAAATGTAGTGATATAATCATCTCCCAGGATGTATCTGGTCAGCTAACTGATGAATATCCTTACTCAAGTCGCAGGCCTGCTGGGATGACAGGGGAGGTTTCCTGGGGCGTGGTCTGCAGCGCCTTGAGATGAAACGAGATGGGAAGTAAGCAGAGAAGGAAGGGTGTGACTACCACCAAGAAAGAAGATCTGGGCACAGACTTATCCTTGGACCTAGGATGATCCTTGTGCTGAGAACCTCTGAGACTCTGGGAAAGACTGACATCAAGACATAGGGAGCTCCAAGGAGCGCCAGGCCCACAGATGTTGACAAGAGACAAGGACCTTCCCCTAGAGCCGACAGAGAGAAAGGTCTCCTCTGAAAGCTGGCATTCTAAATTTGGATTTCTAGCCTCCTAAACTGTGAGAATCAACTTCTGTGTCTTTAAAGCTACCTACTGGTGGTATTTCTGTTACAGCAGCATTGGAGAGCTAAAGCAGATTTGGGTACCAACAATAGGATGCTGCTCTAACAGATACCTAAAATGTGGAAGCAGATTTAGGTACCAACAACAGGATGCTGCTCTAACAGATACCTAAAATGGGGAAGTGGTTTTGGAATTGTAATGAGTAGAAGCTAAAAGAGTTTTAAGGTGGTGGTGTTAAGTACTGTCGAGTCAGTTCTATGGTCCGCAGTCCAGTGCCGATCCTACAGTGTCTCACCAGGAGTCCAAAAGAGTTTTATGGTGCCCAATAATAAAAGCCAGAGACTTGTGGCTCTGTAGGTTAAGCACTGGGCAGCTAGCCACAAGGTTGGTGGTTCAAACCCATCAGCTGCTACTTGGAAACACTATCCAGGTCTCCGTAGGTTGGAACCAAATCTCTGGCACTTAACAACAGCAATAGTAGAAGCCTAGGTTGAATGTTGGTGGAATGATAGACCTCAAAGACAATTCTGGTGAGGAGTCAGAAGGAAGTTAGGGAAACTTTTAGTTATTTAATGATTGCACGACAGAAAGACCACAGTGTGGATGGCTTTAATGCCTAGAAATTTATTCTGTCACAGTTTAGGTGACTAGAAGGCCCAGTATTTTTGGAGATCGCCATATATCTTGGTGTCAGTGTTCCTCTGGATGTAGGAGCTTCACAGTATAGGGACCTCAAGTCCACAGGACGTGCTCTGCTCCCAGCTCTTCCATCTTGGTAATCTTAGACCCCGCTTTCTCTGCTCAGGTCTCTGCTTTTATCTCTTGTCAGATAAAAGGTGTTGCATGAGACATCCTTGGGGATCTCCTGTAAATTGGATCAGGGGGGTACTAGGGTTAAGGGTAGTATGCCCTGGTGTGGCGCTGTGGGTTAATGTGCTGGACTGCAAAGTCGGTTTGAATCACAAGGTCCTCAGAAACCCTATTCAGGGTTGTGATGGGTCGGAATCGACTCAACGGCACTTAACAACAATCCCAGCTTTGGAGCCCTGCTGTGGCACTATAGGATAAGCACTGAGCTGTGAATCACAAGGTCGGTGGTTCAAACCCACCAGTCATTCCTTGGAAACCCTATACAGGGTTGCTGTGAGCCGGAACCAACGTGACAGCACTTGACAACAACATCCCACCCTTAATCCTCTTACCAATTTATCCCATCAGGCTACGTGGGAGATAGCTCCGTCTCAACTGCAAACCCACTGAGTCCTGGTGGTACAGTCCCCTGAGTCTCATGAGCTGTGACACCAGGGATGTCACAGAAGCGAGAAGCAGCAGCAGGAGAGCAGCTCAAGGTGCTGAGGAACTGGTCCTCGGAACAAGACAACGAATGCTTTCAGGCAGGAGCAGGTTTCCCTAGGCACTTGTTGCCAGAGCTAAAGAACTGTGTAACACTTGTCCAAGAGGGACAGAGACTGGGCTGACCCAAGAGGCCGAGGAACGAGGAGCTGGAGAGAGTTGCCTCAGTGTCAGAGGGTAGGACCGTGATCTTAAAGGGTAGAGCCAGGGCTTGCTGGGTCTCAAAGGGTGACACTGTGGCCATCTAGCTTTGAGTCAGACCCTCACCAGTTCTCGGAGAGTGGGACTGCTGTGCCCAAGGGGATGGATGGAAAGATGGACTGCCAGGGCCAAGGGGGTGGAGTCACCACTCAAACAGACGATGAGAATGGAGCCACCTTGAGCTGAGAGAGCAGAGTTGCCACCCCAGGGGGCCTGGACCTAGGGACCTCCACCTGGAATCCACAGAGCATGACCAACACCCAAGTGTGGAGGAAAAGGCCCCTGCCCAGATGGTTTGGTTTCAGAGAACAGAGGGTCTTTTCAAGCCTTGAGGGTTAATAGGAATTGTTCTCCTGGCTTCCTGACTTGTACAGTGCCCCTTACCCCTTCTTGCCCTTCACTGTCTCCCATTTGTAATGGAAATGTCTACTTTATACCTGTCACGCCATTGTACTCTGGATGCCAGTAACCTGGATTCTGGATTCACAGATGAACAGGAACTGTGCTCCAGGATGGGACTTGGACTTGGAGTTGATTTAAGACTTTGGAGATGATATGATAGGGTGAAAGTATTTTGTTTGTGGCAAGGACATGGATTTTGTGTGGCCAAAGGGTCGAATGCCATGGATTAAGTTGTGTACACCCAAAATACGTGTTAACTTGGCTGGGTCGTGATTACTAGTGGTTTGGCAGTTACGTGATGATGTAACTGTCTCCTATGATGTGATCTGATCAGCCAATCAGTTGTGAGGGGATTTGGGTGGAATGGAACTCCCTCTCTCAGGTCACGGCCCTGATCCAATGTAAGGGGAGTCTCCCGGGGTGTAGCCCGCAACACCTTACAAGAGAAAGAAGAAGAAACAAGCCAACTGAGAAATAAGCGCCAGGAGCAGAGCATGCCCTTTGGACCCAGAGTCGTGTGCTGAGACCCTCATAGCACAAGAGTGATGCCAACACACAGGGAGATCTCCAAGGAATGCCGGGCTCACCCATGTTGGAAGGAGACAAGGACCTTCCCCCAGAGCTAATGTCCTACTTGGGACTTTTAGGGTTCTAGGGTCGCTCTGAGTCAGAACTGACTTGATGGCATTTAACAACAACAAAGCAACAAAACTGGGACACTACACTTGTGGTTGTTACCTGCTGTGAGATTTCTGTTGCAGCAGTTCTAGATAACTGAGGCAACTGCATGCTCGCTGTCTGCCTTCAGTGTGTTTCATAATCGCTTTTGGCCTCAATTTTCCTCTTCTGTAGGCTGGAGCAGTCATCCCCACCTCTCAGATTTATGAGGATCTAATGAAATAAAGAGGGCCTATCACAGTGGTCTGGTGTGGCTGTAGGTTAAGTAAGCGCTGGATTGCTAACCACGAGGTTGGTGCTTCAAAGCCACCAGCCACTCCTTGGAAACCCTATACATGGTCACTAAGAGTCGGAACTGACCCAACGACAGTAACAACACGGTGGTCAGCATCAGCTACTCATAACTTCAGAAGTCTTCCTGTTTCTGTTTGTTAAGATTATCACATCCTAAAATGTTTTGATTTTATGTGCTATTGAGTTGATTCCGACTCATAGAGACCCGGTGAGTAGAACTGCCCCTCCCCCTAGAAAATAAACAAACCCAGCAGACAAATGAACTCTTGTGAATACTCCCACTCTCTCCATTCTACACTGGTGTGGTGCCATAGGATATGCAGTGGACTGCTAACTGCAAGGTTACCAGTTCAAACCCACCAGCTGCTCCTTGGATACCCTGTACAGGTTCAGTATGAGTCCAAACTGATTCAACACAATTTAAGGGAAACTGGACTTCCCAAAGCAAGGATGATACTACTGTAATTCCTCCTCACTCACCTTTAGCGTGTCAGACATGGACCTGGAAGTTAAGCAGAGTTCCTTGGAAGCCACACTTCCCAGATCTGAGAGTCTATGGCGGCCCAGTTTCTACTCGGCTGTTCTTCCCATTGGTCCAAGAACAAAACAAAAACAAACAAACAAGATTTGCCCTCTGCTTTCTTTACTTGTATTTGCAGCTCTAATTTCTGCCTGTCACTGTTAAGGAGTCCTTCAGGCACAGCTTTCATACCCAAAGAGCTACAAAGGTTGGTTGGGTTGAGAAGGACAAACGGCAGACAGGAGCGTTCTCATTCCCTGTGGCCTCTGTTTTCTTGTCTCTGAATTGGGAATGTCCTGATGCCTCCTGCAAGATGTTAGAGGAATGTGGCCTTTCTTAGGAGGTGGTCAGTGAGTACTTCCAGCCCACAGCTGTCCCGAGAACTTGGACTGAGGGACACTCCATGCCATTCATTAGACATCAGCGTGCCCCCTGCCTGGCTCAGAAGCCCACTAACCCCTTTCTCAAGAAAACTCCCACTGCCTGGCAGGTGAACACATCTTGTCAAGCGCTGGGGCTAGTTGAGGTATCTGCCCCCAGACTTAAATGATTGCTGTGACTTTGTTTAAGATTAAGTAAGATAAAGTCGTAGTCAAAGACTTTGGAAACATAGAAAAAGCACAAAATGGGCTATTTGCCCATTGTCCCACTTGCAGGCTTTTTTCTATGCATTATTTTTAACAAAATTGGGATCTCACTGAACATATTATGTATACCCTTGTGCTGTTTTCCCTGTTTATCCTGAACACGCCCTCACGTACAAGATTCTTCTGTGAAAATGGAAACTCCAGTGACTGCTGTAGTACTCCTTAGAAAACTTTTCGGAACCAATTTTAGGGTTCACAGATCCACTAAGCCCATCCCCGAGTCCCAGGCTAAAAACCATTGCCTTCGAACGTGGGTTTTAATCATTATTTAGGATTCTGATATATATGAGGGGGCTTCAAAAGTTTATGAAAAAATTCCATTCTCTTAATTCCATTTTTCCACAAACTTTTTGAAGCCCCCTTGTATATAAAACAAAGTTGCTAATATGACCATTTGATTGCTTGCCATTCTTTCTTTTCTGAATAGTCCTTTAGTGAAGCGCCTTGTCGAGAAATCTTGCATGCCTCTCTGGTGACTGACTTCCTTAGAGTCAATTCCGAAGACTAGGATTGCAGGGTCACAGAGCGTGTCCACTTTGAAGGGTTTTGAGACTTGGCCCCTGATTACTATTTGATTACAGTCTGTGAGTGGTTTTGTAAACCTTTTCTAAGCATCATCTGGTTGTTCAGCCTTCTAATCGCCCTCTGCCTTCTTTCTCCCTCGGCACAGTTCCAACCAGGAGATTCAGACCTACGCCATTGCACTGATTAACGCGCTTTTCCTGAAAGCTCCCGAGGACAAGCGACAGGTCTGTAGCTGCCTTAGAATCCTAATCTCACCCCATGCCCCTCTCTGCTGGGCAGCGAGCTGAAGTCCACCCTTCCCCTGAGATCTGTCTGCCTGTTCCTCTGGTCATGAGGAGAGGGGGTGGGGTGGGAGGGCTGGCTTTGCTAAGGCAAATAAGGGGAAGGTCTGTGGGGGGAAATCTGAAAGGGCCTGACAAACCTGCTGCTCTCATGTCGGTTCCAACCCCTAGCGACTCCACAGGACAGTAGAACTGCCCCCATAGGCTTTCTCAGGTTGTCAATCTTGACAGAAGTGGACTGACATACCTTTTCATGGAGCCGCAGGTGGGGTCACACCTACAACCTTTTTATTTAGCAGCTGAGCACCTGAACCCCTGCACCACCTTGACTCCTTAAAAGGTTTGTTGTTGTTGTTGTTAAGTGCCATCGAGTCGGTTCCGACCCATAGCGACCCTGTACAGGGTTTCCAAGGGTGTAAATCTTTACGGGAGTAGAAAGCCTCATCTTTCTCCCGTGGAGCAGCTGGTAGTTTCGAACGCTGACCTTAAGGTTGGCTACCCGATTCGTAACCACTACGCTAAAAGGTTAGGTAATAGTAAATATTTTCATGTTTGTGGACCAGTCTCTGGGCAAAACTCTGCCATTGTAGCTTAGCACTTCTTTCAGCAGTGGGCATGGCCATCTCCCAATCAAACCGTATTTACAAAGCAGGCCTTATTTGACCGACGTTTACCAGTCCCCGGATTAAGCCTCAGAGAGGGGAGAAAGGAACCACTGTTCAATCCAAGGAGATCAAAACACATGGAGCTCTTTCTTGCAGAGGCGAGAGGGCGGGCTTAGCACTAGGCCGACCACGTGTCTTGTGTTCATAGCTGTGTGCTGTGATGCACATTACTTTCCTCTCTGAACCTATTTTCTCACTGGACTGTGGAAACAACAACATCTGCTCTGAGACAAATGTCCCACAGACTGCCCACTGGACCATGGGACAGACCGTATGATGTAATAGTCATAGAGGCCCTTTTCTTGCCTCTGGCTGGGTGAGTCCTTTACCCTCTCTGGTCTCAGCTTCTGTTTCTATAAAATGAAAGTGATCTCTAAGGAGCCTCCCAACACTGACCTTCTATATTTCTCTGCTAAAGGCCCACATAATGTATGAAAGTGAGGCTTCTTAGTTCTCCATCAGCATCGTGGCCTCTGATGTTGAAGGATAATGAGGGAGCCCTGTTGGTGCAGTGGTTAATGTGCTCTGCTGCAAACTCGACGGTCAGCTGTTCGAACCCACCAGCCGCTCCTTGGGAGAAAGAGGAGGCAGTCTGCTTCCGTAAAGATTTACAGCCTGGAACACTATGGACAGTTTTACACCTCAACTCGTAGGGTGGCTATGAGTTGGAATCGAGTCAGCAGGTTTGGTTTGTTGTGTTTTTCATGGCTCTGTAAATTGAAGTTCGTATCGGATCTTGCACCGAGTTCTTGGTAGAGTCTAGTGAGGACCAGGAGCCTGGATGGTTCTGTCTGTCCTTGTCGTTCCTGGGTAGCGCTGCTCTGTTAGTCTCTTCCTTCCCGGTCTTCGTTTGAATGTCAGCTGAAAGCTCATTCTTCGTCTGCTTCTCTCTGTGCTTTTGCTTTCTGCTGGCAGGACAAGCACCTTAATCCTCTAGACCTGCCTGTCACTGTAAGTAGCATCTCTGTGTGGAAGGGGTCCCAGGTGGGAGGTCACAGCTGGGCGTGAATCTCGTGTTGATGGGACACCGTGATTCAGGGAGGGCTGTGTGCTATTGCTTTCATTTGTCAGGATGCTTAGGGCAGTACTGCCAATTTTAGAGTCCTGTGAGGGGTGAAGGGATACCTCTGCCAGGGCCCGGGACCATTTGTAACGTGTTTTCACATGGTCCATGGCTCAGCCAGGAGAGATCATGTTCAGAAATAGCCTGCGACCTTTATCTTAACGACACCACAATTGCTTCACCTACCAATTTGCTATAGGGAAACAGTGAGGTACATCCAGGCCCTTTTTGGTCTCTTACTAAACGTTGGGAGGTTGAAAAGGGTTAGACAGTTGACAAAAGAGAGTCTGGAAGCTCATTTTGCGGCTGGAGGGAGTTTAGAGAGGCCAGCTTTGTGAGAAAAGAAAAGATGAGTGCTTTTCCCCCCGTACCACAGAGAAGCATCAGGTCTGAGGCTCTTGTTACATTAGGGCTGTGGACCGTGGTCAATTATCCACCGTGTGAGTTGTCCATGGCAAGATTTAATCTCAGGCTGGCCACCTATAGCAACCACAGATGATTCTAGGCCACCTTCCTCTGCCAGCCAGTACGTGCTCAGGGAGGGCAAAAATAAAGCTGAATGGAATTTGGGTAGAAATCTGGAAGGGAGAGAAAAGGGCCACTCAGAGAGGAAGGGCAACAGGCCCCTCAGGCCCATTGATTGAGAATTGTCTATAAAGTGGAATGAAGGCAGCCGCTTGGAAAGTGAAGTCATCCTCATTACCATCAGTAAGTCAGGATGCTGACACTGGAAGGAGGAGACAGAATTATGAAGAGCTGTCAAGGAAAATTAAAAGCGTAGTAATCTGAGACCATTTTGTTTAGGGGAAAGTAGCTCCGAATTTCAATAGCTCCTCAGGGTATGGCGTGTCACAACACCGAGGAGTAAGTAACATTCTTTTTGAAGAAGACCAGCCCTTGGCAGTGATTAAATTATAATCATTGTCATCTCTCCAGAAATAAAGCAGTGTGTATAACATATTTTTTTTAAATATTTGCATAAGAATGGTCAAAATAATGAATCGTTCTGAAGAGATCCTTAAAGCGTCTCTCCCTGGCAGACTCACTCCTGGAAGAAGTCTCACTTCCCGAGTGTGTTAGATAAATAAAGCAGGACTGTCAAATCCGAGCCAGAGATAATGGAAAAGGTGAACCTGTTACGAACCAAATTCCCCAACATGTTGTTCTCCAGCCCCATCAGAAATGAATGGCAGACTCTACATTTGAGATGGTCTGCCCCCAGCTCTGGATGCAGGTGCCGCCCAGAGGAGCAAGGGTGGGTGGCTGGACCCAAAGTTCTTTCCCAGGTTCATGAGAGCCTCGCCCGTCACCCAGCCCTAGCAGAGGGTGTCTGTCTGGAAGGGTACATGTGCTGCTCTGTGCTTCCCGTGCTGTGTCCTTTGCCCAGTTCCCTCATGACAAAGTCCAGTCTGGAACAGTCTTGAGTCCCTCTCGGAAGGTGCCGTGGACTATGCCCCGGGAAGGGAAGCACCGCTGGAGTCGTTTGTACTCATAGAAAACAGGAGTGGATTTTTATAAACATTGATGGTCAGCAGATACCCTTCCATTTGCTCACCTTTATTTCAAAGGCAAAAAAAATTTTTGAGAAGGAGAAAAATGCCTAGAGCTTGTGAATCACCTTCCTCTTGATCACAGTAAGAGGTGGGCCTGCCCTCTTGTCTCATGTTTGTTTATTGTTTTCCTCTAGGACATGGCCAATGCATTTGCACAGAAGCACCTTCGCTCCATAATCCTGAATGTGAGTTTCTGGAACACGATGAATTTTGTTGCTATCATTGTGTTGTTCACTGTTAATAGGATTATTATTATTGTTGTTGTTTTTAAGTGCCGTCGAGTCGTGTCTGACTCATAGAGACCTGTATGGGCTTTCCAAGGAGCAGCTGGTGAGCTTGAGCCGCCGAGTTCAAACTGACCATGCACTCCAGCACATTAACCCACAGCACCACTCCAGCACTTCTATTATTATATTATTATTATTATTGGAATTACTGTTCAGGGGAAAGACGTGTAGAAGGAATTTACCAGTAGGCTCTAAAACTTCTTAAACCTGAAAGCTTTTTCCATAATCCCCTGAAAACCAAGTTGTCTTTAGGAGACGGTCCACCAGGAACTGCTGAGCTTCTAGGGAAGTGCTAAGGCTGTTGGTTGCTCTGCAACTCCAAAATTTTCATCCAGAGGGAATGTGTTAATAAAATAGGGAGGGAAGAAGAAAGTTGTCCACTGAGCTAACATTGATCATAAGACTGAATCGTGAGTTGCATAGCATGAATCAGAGGGTGTGCAGGCTCTCGAAGGAACAATGTCCTGTCAGGGGCTCCGTAGCGAGAACAGGGAGGAGCAGGCAGGCCCGCCTTGAAGGCCAGGGTGTCACCGTCTTTGGAGAAATGTCTTTGGGTGAGCCTTGGGGGCTAAGTAGGTGGACCAGGAGGAAAAGGTATTCAAACCTGGAGGAACAGACTCTGTAAAGCCATAGAGCCATGCATCGTAAGGCTCTCTGGGAGTGTATAACTGGGTAGAAGATGGGGCAAAGAGCACATTGGTGATGACTTGGGAGAGGCAGCAAAGAGCAGCTCTGGTCAGGTCTTAGTCTTCTTCCCAAGAACAGTTGAGGGAATTGATCAAGATCCCAAAATAGCAGGAGTCACATCTTACGCCTGAAAGGGTACACGAGGGAGGAAAGTAGAGTGAGAAGCTGGTGGCGGTGGAGGGATCTGAGAGGAAATCTATTTCTGTTACTACAATGCTGATGTTGGGGAAGGAGGTGAGCTGGGGAGGGGATCCAGAGATCTGGATTAAAAGAAAACTTTTATCAAAAAAAAAAAAAAAAAAAAAGGGGAAATGGGGAAAGCACAGTACAGGGAACCAGATGAGAAATCGGAGCCGTGTCTGAAAGGCGAAGTGATTCTGAGCACAACTCTGGAGCCAACCGGTGCCTGCTCTGCTTTTGGTTGTTGTTAAGTACCGTGGCGTTGTCTCCAACTCCTAGCGACCCTGCACAGGGTTTCCAAGGCCGTAAACCTTTACAGGAGCAGAAAGCCTCCTCGTTCTCCTGCGGAACAGCTGGTAGTTTCAAACTGCCGACCTTGAGGTTAGCAGCCCGATTCATAACCACTACGCTACCAAAGCTCTGCCTTTTACCAATCTTTAATCTCGGGCAATTCACTTAACTCGGCTCATCTGGATGGAGAACTAAATGAGATCATATATATACACTGCCTAGCACTCTGCTCATACTGACAGTTCTTTCACCATGAGTAGGATGCAAAGGTGGTGGGATTCTGAAGCCTGCTCTGCACACAAAGCTACGAAGCCACTCAAAACATGCAGAGTCCCCCAGACCTGACCCTGCAGAGCTGACTCTCCCCCACTGGGCACAGCCCTGGTCACAGCCAACCGCCGGCATAGCACAAGGGTCCCAAGCAAACATCAGAGCTGGTGACAGGGCCGTGCAGTCCTGTCTACACTCCTGAGCACATGTGAGGGAGGCTGCCTCCTGGGGGAAATTTAATTCCCTTTCAGACTTATTATTTACCTTAAGGAGGTGAGAGCTTTGAGGCTCATTTATGGGCAGATCTCGTAAACAGGCAGAGTCCACTCATTGCCACGCTTCAGGAAATAGTGAAGGGTATGCTTACAAAAGTCCAGGGCTTTTCACCAAGTCAAACCAGAGAACTGAGGCCTCAACATGCAAGTAAGACTTCATATGACATTTGCAAGTATAATCTACCTGTGTGGAGCTGCACTTTGACAGCCAGAGTACCTGATTACCTTCCAGCCCTGATGTCAGCAAGCATAAGAAAGGGGGATTCAAGTGAATGAAGACCAGATCACGTTTTCTGTCTCCCCCTAAAGCTGTTCTGTGAATTGTGGGGAGAGGTGAGGAGGGAGGGATATAGAGAGACAGGCAGGGAGAGATCAGGAAACCGCAGAGAGAAGGGCAGAGAGTAGACAGCACGGAGCAAGGCAGAGCAGGAGCCTGGAGGAGAGAAAACACGGCTAGACACATGAACATGGTCCCGACATCTCTGGACTGCCTCTCAGCCCAAAAGAGAAATGGAGTTCTGAGCCGTGCTCCAACACAATGGAACCTTGAAAGTGTCTTTGTGAAATCAACTAAACACAAAAGGACAAATGCCATGTGATTTCACCTTTATGCAATACGAGAGCTTCAGAAAGTTCATGGAAAAATGGAATGAAAAGAGAATGGAATTTTTCTACAAATTTTTGGAAGCTCCTTTGTTTCTAGAATAGATAAATCCATAGAGACAGAAGTTGATGAGTGGTTACAGGGAACCAGGGACAGGGAGGAATGGGTACTGAGTTTCTGATAAGAGCCATTGAAGTGGATAGTGGCAAGGCTGCCCAGCATGGTGAATGTAATGGTGTCCCTGAATTGCACCTGGCTGAGTGGCTGGAATGGCAAAGGTTTTGTTCTGGAATATACACACATATGTGCATATTGTTGTTGTTATGTGCCGTGGAGTTGGTTCCGACTCATAGCAACCCTGATTTCTGAAGCTATAAATCTTTACAGGAGCAGAAAGCCTCATCTTTCTCCCGCAGAATAGCTGTTAGTTTCAAACTGCTGACCATGCAGTTCACAGCCCGATTTGTAATCACTACGCTACCAGAGCTCCTGTATATGTATGTATCTATATATATATACATCAGCAGTTCAAAACTACCAGCTGTTCCACGGGAGAAAGATGAGGCTTCCTGCTCCCGTAAAGATTTACAGCCTCGGAAACCCTGTTCAGGGTCGCTATGAGTTGAAACTGACTCTACGGCACATACCAAAATAGATATACGTATGTGTATATAGATAAATAGATACATACATACATACATGTGTGTGTATGTGTATATACATACATATATATGCATATGTGTATCTGTATCTATCGATCTATACACACACACACACACACACACACACACACACACATGGGTGATTCAAAATTTATCCACACTCTGGCTGTAGAATTTATTTTAGTCAACTTTCAGAAAACACAGATACATCATTTTTCAACGTAATCTCCTTGCTTTTCAATACACTTTGTCCATCTATCAACAAGCTTTCGTATTCCCTTATTAAACAGTGTTTCAGGCTGAGCAGCACGCCACGAAAGCACCGCTGTCTTCACGTCTTCATCAGATTTGAATCGGCTGCTTTCAGAGGAAACAGATCTGCACGATAGGGAGGCTGCTGTAATACCTCAACAGGAAGTTTTTGCAGAGGTGTGTGGCTGTGCATTGTCAAGACTGAGCTCAGTACCCTTGGACAGCAGTCCTCCATGTTTAACCGGAAGTTTAGGCTTCAGCTCTTCAGTGAGCATCTCACTGTACCGAGCACTGTGGATTGTTGAGCATTTTTCCTGATAGTGTTCCAATACTGGCCCTTGAGAATCCCAGAAAACTGTAAGCATTATTTTCCAGCTGATGGTTGACTTTTGAACTTTTTCTTGGTCAGTGATTGAGGAGGTTCCATTGGGTACTCTGCCATTTACTCTCAGGCTCGTAGTGATGAATCCATGTTTTGTCACCAGTAATGATTTTTTAAAAGAAACTTTTGCCTTCCTTCGAGTATTGGTCCCAATTTTGTTGGCAGATATGCACACGCTTCTGTTTATGCTCTTGTGTGAATTGTTTCCTTACCTATCTCGTACAAACTTTTTGAAACCCAAGTCTGTGGTGGATGATTTCATAGGCAGAGCCATGCCTCATCTGCAGATGATTTGCCACATAATCCATAGTCACTGGTCTATCCAGCAGAATCATTTCACATGCGCGCTCAATGTTGTCATCAGCTGTGGGCAAACATTTTAAGATAACGTGAGTGCAGATAATTTTTGACTCATCCTTGTATAAGAGCATGGTAGCTGTGGACTGCTAACTACAAGCTTGGCAGTTCGAGCCCACCAGCCACTCCATGGAAGAGAGATGAAGCTTTCTCCCACGATTATTGATTAAAGCCTTGGAACCCCTATACAGCATCTCAAGTTTGTGTCAGAATCGACTCAACAGCAGTTAACAACAACAGCATATATATATATATATTGAAGGATTTCTGGTAATGCTGTAGGGTAAGCACTGGACTGCTAAGCTCAAGGTCAGCAGTTCAAACCCACCAGCAGCTCCTTGGGACACAGAAGAGGCTTTCTGCTCTGGTAAACATTTGGGAATCCCTATACAGAGTCACTGTGCATTGGGATTGACTTGGTGTTGTTTATTGTTGTTTATATATACATTAATATTTATCCTAATTGGGGGAAACAGTAGCAGGAGGAAGGAAAAGACCCACCACTGAGGGAAGCAAGAGGGAGGGGAGGGAAACTGAGGGAAGGGGGAGGAGCAGAGCTGAGAATGGAAAGCAAGTGTGGGGAGGTGGAGAGACACACAGGGACCAAGTTAGGGTGAGGGCATGCATGCTCTAGAGAAGGAATGCATGCACAGGGTCATCGGAGGCTGGAGACAACCACAGAGTCAGGAGGGGGCAGAGAGCGAGCTCAGATGCATTCACACACACTAGACAAGAGGGGTCAGTGGTTCAAACCCATCAGCCGCTCCTTGGAAACCCTAGACAGGGTCACTATGAGTCAGAACGAACTCCACGACACTTAACAGAGAGAGATGGAGAGCAGGACTTTCCAGTAGAACTTGCTGGAAGTTCTGTCTAAAGTGGTAGCCACTAGCCACCAGTGGCTGTTGGGTGTTTAAACTATCTCCATTGTGACTGAGAAGTGAAGTTTTTATTTCATTTCCATTTAAACTGAAGTGTCTACATGTGGCATGTGGCTACTGCATTGGGAGTGGGCAGTGCAGACCTAGAGGCAGAAAACGAGAGCGCTGTGGAGTCCCACAGTGAAAGGAAGAGGTCTAGAGTGGCACCGTCCCTTGCAATGCAATACGAGCCACATAGGCAAACTTAGATGTCCTCTTAGTGACCTTAAAGAGCCCTAGTGGTGCAGTGGTTAAGCACTTGCTGCTAACAGAAAGCTTGGTGGTTTGAACACACCAGCCATTCCACAGGAGAAAGATGTGGCAGCCTGTTTAGGGCAGCGTGAGTTGGAATCAACTCGACAACAGTGAGTTAAGTGACATTAAGGAACAGTAACATGCAAGAGCATGCAATAGGTGGAATGAACTTCAGCAATATATTTTATTTAACTCAATGTATCCAAAATGATACCATTTCAGTACATCACCAATATTACAAAAAAAAAAAAAAGCAAACCCTCTGAATGAGATACTTTACATTTTCTCTATTCATATGATGACTTCAAGACCCGGAGCAGGTTTCCACTTGCAGCACATCTCGGTGTGAACTAGCCACCATTCACTAGATACATGGGACTAGTGGGTCCCATAATGGAAGCGCCAAGTCTAAAGAAATTGATGTAGAACCAGGCCACATAGAGAGCTGATCTCGAGTTAGAGCATGCGCTAGCAGACAGGATCAAGAATTAGAGAAGTCTGGAGCCGAACTCTCTGATAGAGCTTTCTGTGATGGGGGAATGTTCTAGAGCTGTACTTGCCACGTGTGACTGTGGAGCACTTGAAAGTGGCCAGTGTAAGTGAGGAACTGGATTTTAACTGATGTAAATGCAAATAGCTACACTTGGCTAGTGGCTTCCATATTCACAGCACAGCTCTGGAGAGTGAAAGCTGGACAGTATAAGGCTGCAAGTGGGAATCTGGGCCAGAGTCTCACTGTGGATGAGAAGGGACGGGAGTGACAGGACCCAAAGTGGCGGGTGAGACAGAGGGTGTTTGGGCTGAGAAGAGGCTGCCGGGGAGATGAACGTGTCATCCAGCACTGCTCATCAGGAGAGCTGGGGGAGGCATAGCCTGTGAGACAAAAAGAGGTCCCCTCAGGAAGTATCAGAGGGACAGACCGACGGGAGGACACAGAATGACAGAGAGGAGGGCGGGGGCAGTGTGTGAGAGCGGGCTAAGGAGTCAGCTGCTGCCCTTCATGCAGATGTGTAAGGAAATGCCCTTTCTGCAGCCTCTGTGCTGACGCCACTCTCGTCTAGACATTTTCTTTTGTGAGGAAACAAACCCTGTTCGGCCCCGGTCTGCAGTGGGCTCTTTCTGCGGGCCCTCTAGCTGTTGTCTAGGATTTAGTGGTCCTGGGGTGCTGTTTGGAGTAGGATCCTGCTACTGATTTCCTTTATCATAATCTTCACAGGGCACATCTCCCAACCTTGTGGGGAGGATGAGGCCCCTGCCCTCTATTCTCCTAGCCGTGTGGTGCCCTCTGGGGTCCTCAGGGGAGCATCTGCTTGAATCTAGCCCCTCCCCAGAAATGTGAAGTCCCTGTGTTACCGAGGAAAGCTCTGTTCCCTGCCCGGTACACTTTCCTTTTTGTGGGCATGGTGCAGCTCTTCCGCCAAAGACATAGTCCGACATAAATCATGCCACCCTGTGCTCTGTCTGCTTTTTCCAGCACGTGATCCGAGGGAACCGCCCAATCAAAACTGAGATGGCCCATCAGCTGTATGTCCTGCAAGTCCTGACCTTTAACCTCTTAGAGGAGAGGATGATGACCAAAATGGACCCCAATGACCAAGTAGGTACTAGGTGGGGACCGTTTTCTATGGATGCAGGCATTCCAGAGACATGAACGGAGCAGGTCCTGGGCTTCAGTTTTGTTTATAGAGTGGGTTGGGCCTGCTCTGGGAATCCTGGGCCTCCCAGGATGGGCTCCTGCAGGGGCCTTTCTGTGGGTCAAACCCAGCTGTCCTGCTGTGACCCCTCCTAGGAGAGGGGCCCAGAGAGGCCTGGCCCACTGCCTTCCCGGGCTTCTCCTGCTCGGCTGACCGCTGCCTTGTCTGTTCGCCCTCAGGCTCAGAGAGACATTATATTCGAGCTGAGAAGGATTGCATTTGACGCAGAGTCCGACCCTGGCAGTGTCACCGGGAGTGGGACTGAAAAGCGCAAAGCCATGTACACCAAAGACTACAAAATGCTGGGATTCACCGTAAGTTCCCGCGTGGGAAGCCAAGGCCAGGCCCACTTGTCACTTCTCTGACAGCAGACTCTCGGTTCTGGTCCCGTCCTGTTCTCAGCCCGTTACTCGTGTAAATTTCCTCCTCTGACCCTCCCCACCCAGCTCTTGAGTCCCCACAACACCTCCCTTCTGGCGTCCTGGCTGCATATTCAGGGTTTTCTCAGTATCCCTTCAGGATGCCGCTCATAAGCTCAGTGGGACCCCAGGCCCACTCACTTCTGTCCTGCTGGCTACAAACTTGGGGGTTCCCAGCCCTCCTCACTCCTGACCTGCAGGCTTCCACTACCTCAGGTTCACTAATTTGCTAACATGACAAAAGTGCTATGTATTAGTTTTGTTATAGCTAAAAGGATACAAGTGAAGAGACATACAAGGCAAGCTTTGGCAAGGGTCTTAACCCGGAACTTTCCTATCCCGGAATGGGACGGCACGCACTAGCATGTCTTTCTCTACCCAGGAAGCCCATGGAGCTTCTGAGCCTTTATTAGGGCCTCATTACGTAAGCGTGCTTGCTTGAATTACAAGGTGGGTCTTTCTGGCCTGGGAAACCCCTACCTGAGTTATATCATAGCATTAACCCTCAGGCATGGTCTAGAAGCTTCACCAAAGACACTTGAATTTCTGGGGAGTTTCCAAGGTTTTAGCGTCTCTCAGAAACCAAAAACAAAAACCATATCTTTGAGCAAAATTCATTTTAAGTGTCTGAGTACCCCAAAATGCAGCTGTGTTTGACCTTCTTCCCTGACAAGTCAAAGGGCCTGCCCAGGCAGACCCTTTAGGTCCCCTCCTTCATGGTGGTGACCTTAGAGAAAATGGCACAGATGTTTTTCAAGTCAAAAGAGCCCTTGATGCTTGATCTGCTTTAGTGGCGGCAAGTAGGTCCGCGTTTGGCCTCTGAAACCAACCTGTTTGTAGACGAGCCCAGCAGTCAGCTAAAGCGGGCCGAGACTCCTCAGTCCTCTAACCAGAGAAGCTACGTTCCTTTAGAAATGAGCCTGAGTATCTTGGGATGGAGTGCAGCTTGAGGATGGGGTTGGTTTCATTGAGGGCACACCTGCCAGGTGCCAGGCAGTATACTCAAGGCTGAGAGGCCCAACGTGAGCCAGCTGCAGTGCAGAGCTTGAGGCTCCCACAAAGTGATGGTGCCATTCTGGGGCGGGACATGGGCAGTCTCTAGGAGTTTCCCCTCAAGTGACACCCCACACGTATCTTTACTTTCCAGAACCATATCAATCCAGCAATGGACTTTACCCAGACTCCTCCAGGAATGCTGGCTTTGGACAACATGCTGTACTTGGCTAAAGTCCATCAGGACACCTACATCCGGGTAAAGGCGGGAAGCTGGCTTGCTGTGTCCTGCTGACCCGTCCCTTGCCTTCCTGACACCCCTCCCTGACCCTTCCATTCCTCCTGCCACAGATTGTTCTGGAGAACAGCAGCCGAGAAGACAAGCATGAGTGCCCTTTTGGCCGCAGTGCCATCGAGCTCACCAAGATGCTCTGTGAGATCCTGCAGGTTGGGGAACTGCGTAAGTCTGTGCAGCTCCCCCTCTTCCTTCAGCCATTTCTTGTGACCGAAGCCTGCTGAGACTTGAGATCATCAGCAGTTAGATGCTGATGGTACTGGACGCCTTTATTACCTTTCTATCCGTAGTTGAGCTGCTACCTTACCTGGACTTTTGGGAACCACGGCTGTTGCTCTGTCTGAGCGAGTCATGTGAGCAGACTCTGTAACAGGGCAGAGCCAGAGCACGAGAACATGCCTGGAGAACACCAGGGCAGTGGAGAGAGGCCCGTCTCATACTCTGACAGCATGGCCGCGGTCTGGTTCTGTGCATCAGGACTCCGGGTGCAGAAGTTCCGGAGCCTCTGCGGGCAGGGCTCTACCCTTCTCGTTTCTTTCCTTCCACAGCAAATGAAGGGCGGAACGACTACCATCCAATGTTCTTTACCCACGATCGAGCATTTGAAGAGCTCTTTGGCATCTGCATCCAGCTGTTGAACAAGACCTGGAAAGAGATGCGGGCCACTGCAGAGGACTTCAACAAGGTCAGTGCCGTGGAGCCTCTCTGCAGACCACAGGCCAAACTGGCCATGTGGCAGCACACAGCTGGCCAGAGCCCTGCTGTCCCTGAGCGGGGAGAGCAGCTTGCTCCTTGTGCGGAGAGTCTCAGTCCCGTCTCACTGTGCAACCTTGAGCAAAGGACGGCACAGCAAGAAGCGTCCAAAACTTAGCACTGCCGACCAAGCTGCTGCCCTTCCTGCCCTAGTCCCCCCTCGTTTACCCAGTGGAGTCAGTATCTGTTTGGGAAAAATCAAGAAGAAAGAGCTGTCTGGGATTCCACCATCCAGCAGTGGCCATTGTGAACGTCGAGTTTGTACCTGGAGAGTCTCCCTCGTAGGTGAGGCCATACTTCACCTGCAGGCTGCTGCTGCTCCTAGTTTTCTTCAGCACCAGTTGTTTGTGGGGAACTAACACATTTACTGACGACAGGACAGTGTGCCAGGCACCCAGCTGCACCCCCAGATAGCACATGGTCCTAAAGCAGCCTCTCTCAGGCAACTGTTCTTCCTTTCTCCCACTTGAAAGATGGAGGCCTGAGGATGTGAAGCCACTTGCTCAGGAAAGAGAACCAAAGCTGCCTCCATTTCTCTCTGACTCCAGCACCACACCCTGATCCATCCAGCAGTGCTTCATTACCATCAGTCATTTGGCTCAAATACTCATCTAAGGAGGCGGCCTTGAGAAGGCCATACTCATTCACCCAGCCGATACCGCTCAAGCCTGCGATGCTGACGACACTGGTCTGCCCACTCCTTAGAGCAGAGGCCTAAGCCTGCTGCCCTCTTCTTGCCCTCATAGGTTATGCAAGTGGTCCGAGAGCAGATCACTCGGGCTTTGCCCTCCAAACCCAACTCCTTGGATCAGTTCAAGAGCAAACTGCGCAGCCTGAGTTACTCGGAGATCCTGCGTCTGCGCCAGTCGGAGAGGATGAGTCAGGATGACTTCCAGTCCCCACCGATCGTGTAAGTGCCAGCCCAGAGGGGTGGGTCCAGGATGGCGGCCGGCAGCCCTGCCCGGTGGCCTTCTCCTTACTCTCCTTCTCCTTACTCTGTGGGTCCACGCAGGGAACTACGGGAGAAGATCCAGCCCGAGATTCTGGAGCTGATCAAGCAGCAGCGCCTCAACCGGCTCTGTGAGGGTAGCAGCTTCCGGAAGATTGGGAACCGCCGGAGGCAAGGTGAGAGGAGGGCCTAGGCCACTGGGAGGACCCCTACTGACCAGCCCCTGAACCCGCTCTGCTTCTGCCTGTGTTCCAGAACGATTCTGGTACTGCCGCTTGGCCTTGAACCACAAGGTTCTGCACTATGGTGACCTGGATGACAACCCTCAGGGGGAGGTGACGTTCGAATCCCTGCAGGAGAAAAGTAAGTTCATGTCTCAGTTGATGTGTCATCGTAACTGGACTTATTGTTGGGAGACTTGAGCGCTGGCCCTGATGCGTGTTCATGCACATTCTATGATCCTGGGCAAGTTACGTCTCTGGACCTGTTTCCCCATTTGTCAGAGATCATTTCCACCTGGCCTACCTCTCAAGGTGGTTGGAAAGTCAAATGATATCACAGGTGCCAGTGTAGTTGTAGATTGTAAAGGGTGGTACAAGACTAAGTCAGAAGGCAGTCTGCATTCACATTGTGACTTTGCCCCCTGACTAGTAATTCTCTATGCAAGTTAATCTTACCCACTGCTATTTTCCCTCCTATAAAATGGGAATCATAGCGTAGTGGTTACAAATTGGGCTGTGAACCGCAAGGTCAGCAATTCGAAACTACCAGCTGCTCTACAGGATAAAGATGAGGCTTTCTGCTCCCATAAAGATTTACAGCCACGGAAACCCTGTTCAGGGTCGCTATGGGTCGGAACCGACTCGACGGCACTTTAACAACAACTGTCATAGGAAGAGTGACTGAGTAGTGGGTGAAAAGTCTGACACGCAGTGAATGTGACTGTAGCTGCCACGGTGCCATTGTCACCCTCATCACTGCGGTGGGAACGTGAGGGCTATTTCCACGGCCCCATTCCCTGGGGAATTTGCTCTGACACAGCTCCACCTGACCATGGTCCACAGCAAGAGGTCAAGGAGGAGGGGACAGTAAAGCCGTCCTTCCTGAGTGACCAAGGACGAGGGGACAGTAAAGGCTACCCTCCCTGAGTGACCAAGGAGGAGGGAACAGTAAAGACTGCCCTCCCTGAGTGACCAAGGAGGAGGGGACAGTAAAGACTGCCCTCCCTGAGTGACCAAGGATGAGGGGACAGTAAAGGCTACCCTCCCTGAGTGACCAAGGAGGAGGGGACAGTAAAAGCCGTCCTTCCTGAGTGACCAAGGATGAGGGGACAGTAAAGGCTACCCTCCCTGAGTGACCAAGGAAGAGGGGACAGTAAAGGCTACCCTCCCTGAGTGACCAAGGAGGAGAGGACAGTAAAGGCTACCCTCCCTGAGTGACCAAGGAGGAGGGGACAGTAAAAGCTGTCCTCCCTGAGTGACCAAGGACAAGGGGACAATAAAGGCTGCCCTCCTTGAGTGAATACAGCCTCAAAATGGGAGCGTCTTCCTGGTCCCGATACAGGGACCAAGTGCAGTGGGAAGCTTCCAGAGACTAATGCGCATGGTTTGTCAGTTCCTGTTGCAGACATTAAAGCCATTGTCACTGGGAAAGACTGTCCCCACATGAAAGAGAAGAGTGCTCTGAAGCAGAACAAGGTGAGTGGAGAGGTGACCTTAGGGCGGCACCGGCCCAGCGAGGTCTGAAGAGTCCAGTCGGTGGTGCTGGCTTCTAGGAGAGTCCTCTCCTCCTACCCCTTCAATTACTCCTGGATGGTGTGTTAAGAGTAATTTTAGACACAACATAAAAGTAGATAGAGCCTCGTACACTCATCATCTACCCTCAACAACCATGGTTAATTCTGTCCTCTCCTCGTCCCTCCCACTTAGTCCACGTCCTCCTCACTTACAGCTGTTTCATGATCCAACACCTCACAGCTCCAGGAGCAGTGAACCATCTTCTATCGACTGTTCTGGGCAGTAAGGGCACACTTGTGGCAGTAATGAACGCTGAGGTGCTCGGTGGGAATAATGCGAGTTCATGTCAATTTGACTGGCCCATGATTCTCAGCAGTTTAGCAGTTGTGTAAGGATGTGATTTGTCTGCCATGCAGTGATGTGGTCATCCTCCATTTTCATGTAACACTGGCTTTAGCCCGGTCTCTGGAACCTAACCGTGTCTTTCAGTGATGAGCAGGTATATTCTGAAGCAGATCCCAAGTATGCTGTGATTTTCATTTTCAAAAAGTTAGTATGCATTTCTAAAGTATAGGGACTCGTTTCACACAGCCGTGGTCCTACCTAAAGAGAGATTGTTGTTTAATATCATGAACTAGTCCACGGATGCTTGAATGTCTGCCCATTGTCTTATGGAAGTTATATTTATTCTCTCTAAAAATATCTGTATACACACACACACACATATTCTGTTTCTGTCCCTCTCTCTTTCAACTGTTTGTTAAATCAGAATCCAGTAAGTTCCACACAGTCATGAGTTGATCTGTCTTCTAAGATCCTTCTTGATAAGTTTTCCCTCCATCCTTTTTTCCACCCACTTTGCAGCTTATTAGTAAAGAAATCAGGTTGCTTGTTTGGTACTTTCTCAAAGTCTGAAGGTTGCTGATTGTGACTCCAGGGTACAGTGTAACGGGCTTTCTGCCCCAGATCTGTACACAGGATTGAGAGGCGGGATCCAGTTCAGGTTTGACGCTTTGTTGCTACTGTTGTTTCTGGTGACACTACTTCCTGGATGGTAGTTTGTGCTTCTCTCACGAGGCCCATAATGTCTGATGGTCTCCCTTTTTGGGATGTAAGCAGGCCATTAATGCTCAAGGCCTCCTTCCATTCAGAAGTTAAGGTCTGCACAGTAGTGAGGTTCTAACTCAGTCATTCCATTTGTTAGCTGCACTCTATCTCTGAAGAGGAGCTTGCCTTCAGTTACCGTTGGCTTCCCAATTGTTCCTTTTATGTCAGAAAGGCAGGGCAGTGCTTGGTCCTTCCCTCTTGGGTACTGTACTATTGCTAATATAATGAGCTAGTTCCCTGATGTCACCCTACAGGGACCTGTGGTATGGGTGTCCGTGTGTCTGTATGTGTGTCAGTGGTGTGGGTGTCCGTGTGTCCGTATGTGTTTTCGTATGTGTGTCACTGGGAGTATGTGTGAATGGTTTTGTTTTGCTTTTTTGTATCAAGAAGTCTTAAAGTTAAGCAAATTATAGTTGTTTCAGCCCATTATACTTACTGTTTTGCTGAGGCTCAAATTGTCCCATGTTTGGCTACAATGTTTTTTGCTGTCTTTATTGGTAAACTTTTTACAGTTTTTATTTGCCATTTACAACATAGTACAAACAGGAGGACAGTCTCTTTATAATGTATAATAGAGCTTTTAAGGTAGTATACAGTCATGGACTCTCATATTCACAGTCTTCTGAGTCTTGAAAAATGACTCTTCTCCAGTTTTAAAAAGTAACACATCTGAGGTGTGACTTGGGCAGGCAGTGGGTGAGTTAAAACTGATGACCACTAACCGCATCCAGCTCGGGGCCCTTAATGAATCATGTCTGAATTGAGACTTTTCAATGGTGGTGCCAAGTTACTAGGACTTTGGCCAAGATCTTGAGGTATAGAACCCAGCCCATTCCATAACTCTGAGTAACGAGACCCTTTCTCCTTCAGGAGGTACTGGAGTTGGCTTTCTCTATCCTGTATGACCCTGACGAGACCTTAAACTTCATTGCACCCAACAAGTATGAGGTGAGCAGCGTGCTTCGGACCACAGAGCCCTCTCCGGGACTCTTTAGTTAGAGGCGAAGAGTGGGCAGAACAAGCATGTCCTCCTCCAGGCAAATGGCCAGTGTGTTAAGCAGGCTGCGTGAGGCCAGGGGTCTGCCACGTTGTGCACCCTTCCCCATGAGCCAGGCTCTCTCTCCTGCGTCCTCTGGAGCAGCCTGGGAGGTTATTAGAAAGGTCAGGTCACCTAGGGATCTCCTCCTTTCATTTGTCCTATGGCATCTAGCCAAGGGAACTTGACAGATCCCCCACACACACACACTCTGCCGGACTTCCGGTCATATGTTGTAGATCCAGTCTGGCTTGGAGCAAGACAAGGGGCTTCTAGATTCAAGGGCAGCACTGGAAACTACTACCAGACAGGATATGCGTTCCTGTGGTGAAGACCTAAGTGCCTGGTGAACTGAGGGCAGTGGTGGGCACAGGCTGGGGCCTCTGGAAGAGGAGACACAGGTGGGTTTTTATTGAGATGGAGCTAAGGACAAGCAAGCAGGGAAACTGAAAACTAGGATTCCTATTTGTGCCCCACTTTTTCACCTAATACCTTTGCCCCCCACTACCATACTAATTTGGGGTCCTGGTGTGGTGCTATAGGATAAGCAGTTCAAACCCACCAGCTGCTCCTCGGGAACCTTAACAGGGTCACTATGAATCAGAACCAACTCAACAGCACTTACCAACAGTAACAACCCTACTGCTCTGGAGGAACAACTTCAAGTAGGTGATGTTGTTGGTAAGTGCCGTCGAGTCATTTTCGACTCATAGCGACCCTGTATAGGGTTTCTGAGGAGCGGCTGGTGGGTTTGAACTGCGCGGTCCAGTGCCTTATCCTGCAGCACCACATACCCCCATTGAGAACCGATTACCAATGAACAGTTCTAACTCATAACACCTCCTAGGACAGAGCTTATCCAGAGCTCCGCAGGGTTTCCAAGACTGTCAATCTTTCTAGATGCAGACAGCCTCGTCTTTCTCCCAAGGCGTGGCTGGTGGGTTTGAACCACCAACTTCTTGGTTAGCAGCTCTGTGATTAACCCACTGTGCCACCAGCACCCTATTTTCTCCATACTCATCAATTACACGTTTTAAAAAAAAAATCTCATTTTGTATTATTCTAAGGACTTTTCGTGTTCATTCCCTCATAAAAGCCAGAAGACATTTGTAGCCTGGGAGCAATTGTCTCCCAGTTTATCAGTTCTGTTGTGCCAGATGTCCGTGTCCCAGGTCTGTGCTAAGTCAGCTTTCTCATGCTTACTGTAGTATCTGGAGTCCCTTCAGAAAAGGGAACTTGGTGGTCCCTCCTGCCAAGCAGTGGCCACCAAGGTGACATTGGTAACTTGCTGCCCACAGTACTGCATCTGGATTGATGGCCTCAGTGCCCTTCTGGGGAAGGACATGTCCAGTGAGCTGACCAAGAGTGACCTGGACACGCTGCTGAGCATGGAGATGAAGCTGCGGCTCCTGGACCTAGAGAACATCCAGATCCCTGAGGCGCCGCCGCCAGTGCCCAAGGAGCCCAGCAGTTATGACTTCGTCTATCACTACGGCTGAGCCTGGCGCTGGAGGCCACAGCGCCCGGGAAGGGATTTGGGGCCCAGGTGACACTCACAGTCTGGTGCCTTGGCTTTTGTTTGTACAGAATCTGTAGTGACCATGGTGGCCAATCAACGGCAGTCATTCCTCTGACCAAGCAGAGCTCCTCTCGGTCGCTGTCAGCTGAGAGTCACTAAGGCACTGCTCTGCCTCCTGTCACCATGAGGCCCGGGATCAGGCTGCCAGGGACGAAAGGCAGAGGCCCCTGCCTTCCAGCCCCAGAAACTGCCTGTTGAGCTGGATTTGACAACAGTTGCTCACCTTTTCTTCCTGCACTGGCTCTCTGGTCGACTGGAGCCCCAGCTGAGCTGGACCTGGCCGGGGAAGGCTGCTTAAAGAAGACGGGTGCGCTGGGCGCTCAGAGAACCCTAGAGTGACTGTTTGTGTGTGTCTGGGTCTCAGTAGAGGCTTTGGCCATGGCCTTTGCTTGGCAGGTGCCTTGGGCCGTTTTCTTTTGTCTTCTCCATTAGGGCTCACTCCGGCCTCACACGGTGCCAAGTTGTTGCTGCTTCTGAGATAGGCCTTTAACACTTCTACTCTCTGCGGCCACCAGCTCTCTCTCACCCTTGCAGGTTTCAGGACAGATGGAAAAATGTCTCCCCAGCGAGCTCTCAGTCTCTCTTCCTCCAAGTTAGAGGCCTCCGGATCAAGTCCCCCTGTCTCAATCTCAAGGAACTCTGCAGATGAGATTCCTGGATTCCCCCGCACCACCCTTCCTTGGCAGTAATCTCCCACCTGGCCTGAAAGCAGCCTTTGTCAGACCCCAGGATGCCTGCCCTTTTCTCCCTCCCTCCCCTACACCTTGACTTCTGCCATCGACTGTGATTTCAGGGAGCTGGCAGAGGCTGGCTGAGGCCACAGCGGAGCCCTCAGGGCTCTCCTGGTGCATTGTAAACCACACATGGCCTCACTTCTGAACACCCGATAGCACAGTGGCATTCAGTTCTGGTAGCCTGGCATGGTAGGTACTATCCATTGAAGAGTGTACTATATATTTTCTTTACTATAGGCCATACTTATACAGACGTGTATATATATTTATATAAGATCTACCTGTCCTAGGATGCAGTGTTTAGGGGGAAATGAAATGGTTGGGGGCGGTGGGGAGGAACACTTCCAATTGTGAATCATGATTGTAACCTGAGAGCAGCCAGGGGCTTCCTGTCAGTAACCACGTTTTCAATAAATACTCTTTCATGTACAGACTGTTCTTCCCCAGCAGCAACTACCTCTCCACACTTACCCCCTGCCCCCCGGCGGAGATTTTACCTGGACAAGCCTTCATCGCAGTGTGTCTGGGAGACTCGGGGGCCCTTCACCACCTCCCAAAAGCCTTTCCTCTCTCTAGCTCCCTTTCCTCTCAACGCATACACACAGGCACACCCCTCCTGGTTAAGGATGTTCACAGATTGTTGTACCAGGACAAAGTGTTTTCTGCTCAGGCTTGCAGAGCACAGCAGGGAAACGGTGGAGCAGAGAAAGGCATCCATACTGTACAGCCCTGCCAGGAACAGCTCGAGTACTTGTGCCTTATAAAGAGACACGTTCTTTTCCCTGCGGATTGCCTGTGCTCGGTGCCCAGGCTTCCAGCTGGTGTTTAGGCTGTTCATCCAAACCTCCTCGGCCTTGGTAGCTGGGAGGGTTGAATGAAGGCGGTGATGAAAATAGATACTTGCTCTTGCTTCTTTCAAGAGGCACAGAAAACGCACCCACTATAGGCCTTGGAGGCTGTATAAAGCTGAGACCTTGAGCAACGTTGGGTGCTTCGTGAGGAATGAATGAATGAATGCCTGTGTGAGGCCAGCTGGCAGCGACAACCACAGCAGTTCCCATGAAGCCCCGCTTGCACTCTGGCCTTGAGCCTTCTGCTTAGAGGGACCAGGGGCCCTGACGGAGTCATTTGCAGCCAGTCTTCAAGCCAGAGAGCCAGGAGGGGACTGGAAAAGGAGAGTGAAAGCCCCCAACTGCCTCAGTATACAACCCCAGTCTGTGCTGGAATCCTACCCACAAGCTCTGCACCTTTTACTCCATCCTGCAAGATGAATAAACTCAAAACTCACAAGGCTGGTATTTGGGGACCACTGAAACCTGCCCGTTAGCTACTTTTCTGACCCTAGTTCTTGTTACTCTTGTTCTAAACAACCAGACCCCTTCTCATCCCTCCTGTGGGACTCCCATTTCCTTTCTGGGAGGCTTTCCTTCTACTCAACCTATTAAAATAGAAGTATTCTTACAAAGTTCAACACAGAGACAATGTTTCATGTGTATTACCTCTATGGGTAAGTCATAGTTTCATAGTTAAATCCCGATCTATCACCACCCCCAAAAACTGGTGAAAGCTCCAAGAAGAAATAGCCATGAAAGATTGATCCTCACGGTCCCATGGCTACGCAGTACCGAACTGGACATGAGGGACACACTTCTTTTGCAAACAGGCGGGCAGTTTTGGGATACCTGCTGTGTCGGGGGCACTGGGGACCCAGGGCAGGCAAAATACAATTACAATACACAGCTGGCCATGAGAGGTTCTTGGAGGCGGATATGCTATGCCGGGCGTCCGCCCCGCCCTCTGTGACTTCCGGAGGAAGTTGTTCCTCCCCGACTCGGTGGCCGGCCTCGAACTTCCGGAAAGAGAGACCTGGCCCCCCGGAGTTCCCTGGTTGGAGGTGAGTGCGCGTGCGGCGAACCTCCCTGTGCGCGCTCCCTGGATCTCGGAGGGTCCAGAAGTCGGGTCCCCTGCCTGGGCACCGCGCACACCTGGGCGGGGCACGCCCGAGCTCCTTTCCCTTCCCGGGTCTCAGTGGCCCCATCTGCAGAGGGAACAGACAGATACACGGGTCTGTAAGCTGACGCCTGCTTCGCGTTACTTCCTCCAATATTTATTGATGCCTGCGACCTGCCGGGCTCGGGCTCAGGAATCCAGCCTAGAATCCAATGTCAGCTGAGAGACCCTGTCCCCAGGAGGGGGGCGAGGTACAGTGGGGAGGCTCTGGCAGCACTCAGTCCTGTGAGCAGAAAAGGAAAGGTCAGGTGCTGAGAGGTGCCACGTGGATGAGGTGGGGACTGCAGAGTGGGGAGGACCCTTGAGGAAACACATTTGAGATTAAACCCAAGTAAAGTATTCATTTCTGCAAAGGTCTTTGGAAGAGTGTTCTAGGTAGAAGGAATAGCACGTACAGACGGGTGCGTTTGCGATGTGGGTGGGAGGCTAGAGTGGTGGTCAGCTGACACCAAGCCCTGCCAGGTCTTCCTTATGGAGGTGCTAGGAGTTGGAATAAGCAGTGTAAGTGCACTTTCAGTGCTTAAGCCATCTCAAAGGAAACCTGGCGGTGAAGTGGGTTAAGTTCTGCACGGCTAACATCAAGGTCGGGGGTTCAAACCCACCAGCTGCTTCACGGGAGAAAGATGAAGCTGCTTGCTTCTGTATAGGAAAATCTTAAAACACACTTTTACTCAGTCCTATAGGGTCGCTTTGGAGTCCTGGTGTGGCGCTGTGGGTTAATGAACCAGACTGCAAAGCCGTTTGAACTGCATGGTAGGTGGTTCAAGCTCACCAGCTGTTCCTCAGAAACTGTATACAGGGTCACTATGGGTCGGAACCAACTCGATGGCACTTCACAACAATATAGGGTCGCTTTGAGTTGGGATGGCGTCTATATCAGTGGGTTGTGATTTTTTTGTTTTTTTTTTTGTTGTTGTTGCTTTGGTGGCACAGTGATTAAATGCTCAGCTGCTTATCAAATAGTTGGTGGTTCCAACCCACCAGCCAGCTGCTCTGTGGGAGAAAGATATGGCAGCATACTTCCGTAAAGTGTTGTTGTTGTTGTTACCATCAATACGATTCAGACTCATAGCGATTCAGACTCATAGCGATTCATTATAGCAGGGGTGTGGAACATCCAGCCCCAGGCCTTACAAGGCCCACAAGATCATTAGGTCAGGTCCTGCCAAGGCAACTACAGTTCCAGCCATCGCACTGAGGGTGAGTTAAGTGTTTGATCAAACATAGCAGGCTAGTATGACTCACAAATGATGTTACAAATTTTGACAGAAAAAAAATTGTTCCCCACTCCTGCTGTATAGGATTTTCAAAGAGCAGTTAGTGAATATACACCGCCAACCTTGAGTCCAGTGCTTGTCCTACAGTGCCATACCAGGAATCTGTAAAGATATAAAACCTTGAAAATCCTGTGGGACAGTTCTCTCTAGCCTGTAGGGTCCTGGCTCCGTGCCTCGGGTGTCTTTGTTTGGGTTGGTTTTGGTTTGATAATATGGTTTGTGGAATGGTTGGCGGTTAAAGTTCTCTCAGACCCCTAATGGAGCAAAGTTCTACTCTGACACACGCTAAGGTTTGTGTTTGAGTTCTGTTCCGGTCGTGGCTGCTTTCTGGGCCCACACTGTAGCTAAGAAGGAAAAAGCAAGGAGACCAGTTAAGAAGAGCGTTAAAATCAACAGATGAAAGATACAATGAAAAACTTGTACTATGGCGTTAGGAATTGAATAGATGAGTAAAAAAATTAATATTGGAGGTGGAACTGAAAGGATGTGATTTAAGGAGTGAGGAATGAATGACTTGAGGACTGGTCAAGGAGAGCTCCAGCTTTGATTTTTGTTTCTTTGTTAAAGTTGTTATTGTTGAGTGCCACTGTGTCAGTTCCAACTCACAGCTACCCTGCATAAGGTTTCCAATGAACGGTGGTGGCGTGCTGGTGAGTCAGTTCTGACTCATAGCAACCCTGTGTAGGGTTTCTGAGGCTGTAAATCTTCACAGGAACAGAAAGCCTCACCTTTCTCCTGCAGAGAGGCTGGTAGATTCGAACTGCTTACCTTGTGGTTAGCAATCCAGTGCTTATCCTACAGCACCACACCAGAAGTCCTTGACTTAAGTAACCAGACATTTTTAGCTGGAATTTACTAAATGACTTTGGAATAGTAGCCAGGTGGGAGACTCAAGAAACTGCCTTGTGGCATCTTAAGTTTGAGATCTCTTAATCAGAGCTACTACATAGGCTGTGAGATGTGCACAGAAGTGGTGAGGGCTAATATAGAGAAGGTAGGTTGAGCCGGATGGCATTGCCAAGTGTTAGAATTGAGATAGAGAAGCTCGCTCCAACCGTTGGTTTTTCCAGGTTGGGTTGGGGAGGAGAAACCAGCAAAGAAGAGCAAGAAATAGTCCAGAAAAAACCATGAGGCTATGGTGCCATGGCCTCCGAAGGAACATTTCCAGGGGAGGAAGTTGTGGTAGCTCTGGAGCACAGTAAGGACAGGCTGGCGTGGGGGTGGGCCCTGGGGTGTTTTATTCTAAGGGGACCAGGAATGGAGTGAGCTCCTGCCGTCAGAGAGCATTGTACTTCCTCCTCAGGAACCAGACAGTTTAACCCCTTTTATAGAGGGGAACCGGAAGGATCCGACATTTTTGTAACTTAGGTCATACCGTGGTAAGTAAATGAACCAGGACTGCTTTCAGATCTAATGCCACATGCACCCTTACGCACTAAGCTCCCCTGCCCATGGGACAGTTGGAGAGACCAAAGGGAACAAGTACCATGGTGATTGTTCTCTTCCCTGACGACCAGCCGCTCTCAGGGAGAAAATGAGGCGGAATATGGTGTTTCTTTCCTGGGTGTTTCTTTTCTGGGTAACAGGAGCTTCACTCACTGAGATGGGAGGTTGGGAGAGGTGCAGATTTGGGCTGACGGTAGATGTGGATAGAGACATCTGTTTTGGACGTACCGTGTATGACACACCTAATAGCAAACATCCGAGCGAGGAGGACATATAGGCTGTTGGACATTCTTCTGGGGTCTGAGGGGAGCGTGGAGCTAGGGATGAACATTTGAGAGATGTTGCTAACAGAAGGCATTAAAACATTATACATTAGGTCATGTAGCATACATTGTCCTCAAGTTGATTCTGACTATAGAACAAGAGAACTGCCCCATAGAGTTTCCTAGGAGCTCTGGTGGCGTAGTGGTTACGCATTGGGCTGCTAACCTCAAGGTCAGCAGTTCGAAACTATCAGCCGTTCCGTGGGAGAAAGATGAGGCTTTCTGCTCCCGTAAAGATTTACAACCTCGAAAACCCTATGCAGATTCGCTATGAGTCAGAACAGCCTTCCATCCCATCCTGAAGTGAAATTTATGGTTAATTAAAAACGAGCCCACCCGCCACTCCCCGGGAGACAGACAAGGCAGTCTGTTTCTGTCAAGCTCACAGGGCCATTCTGCTCTGTCCAGTAGGGTCGCTGTGAGTGGTGATGTCGGTAGGTTTGGCTTCTCAGTTTTCACGTGATTTTGTAAAAGCTCATATGAAAGAAAGAGATGAGAAAGAAGGATAGAATGTGCGTCATTGGCTATGTCAGTTCCTCAGCCCTGTGATACTCAACGTCAAGTCCCTGGATGCTGAGATCTCTGAGTCTTGTCACCCGGGTGTGACGACCACAAGCACAGATGGACACAGCCCTGTGGACCCACAGGTCAAATACCATGAGCACCCCACTGCTGTCTGTGATGTGGCCTTCCTAAAATGGGAACTTTTTGTGCATTTCTGACAAAAACAATTCAGTGACCCTGGTAGGTACGTTCCTGGAAATTTTAGCACAAACACGGCCTTTTGCTTACATAGAGAGTGAGGCTGTAGGTTCTGGTCACTGTAAGCCTGTCCTTCCCTCAAGTGAATGCCACAAAACCATCCTTGGTGCCCCCCGGGTAGCCAGAACTCCCCTACAGAGAGCCACAGCCCTCGGGCACCCTTTGGACAGAGCATCCTGATTTCCTTGGTGGAGGGACAATGGTAACACTCCAGAGTCCTCGCAGAATGCTGTCACTCCTATCAGAAAGGATTCGGGGTGCAGGAGGCTGAGGGCTGTGCAACACCACTGTATGCTTCCAGAAGTGGCATGTCAACAGGGTGGAGAGTCTCCAAGGAGGAGCTGGGGGTGCGGAAGGGGTACAGAGGTGGAGCAGCCTGTGTGGTTGTGTGGGACCAGGGCATTCCCAGGCTGGGAACCCTCCTTGAAGTTGGCTGGCCTGAAGGGAAACAGGGAGAGGCTGGGCCTGGTAGGTAGTGGACTCTTGGCTCCTTTTTAACCCTTCAAAGAACAGGCCAGTCCCTGAAAATCCCTAGGTCATTGAGTCATCAGAGAATGGCCAAGTACTAGGTCTGTACACACCGGTGTGGACATGGAGTCACGTCCTTGAGGAACCCACAGCCTCTCAGGGGACCAGACATGACCCAAACCGTCACACCAAGCACAGGGACTGTGAGAGCAGCCACTGTCTCAAGGGGGCTTCTCAGGGTCAAGCAATATGGTAACTGAAAGCAAGTAGGGTGTGCTGAGAAAGGCATGGGTCCTCGGGCAGCAGGAAAGAGCCTGGTGTGTTTGGGAACTGAAAGGGACTGGGGAGCCACTCATCTGAGACTACTGGAGAGTCAGGTGGGGCTCAATTGGGGCCCTGCCAGCCCCAGGGAGTGCTCCGTCTTGAAGTTAGAAGTTCTGGAAGTCATTCAGAATCCTCTGTAGTGGTCTGACAAGATCAGATTTGTGTTTCCTAAAGGTCACTGTGGTGGTACTTCCTGGAGGTCCGTGTGAGGGGACAAGGTTGGATGCGGCCTGGAGTGCTGTCAGCATCTGCTCCCATGGGGCCTGAAGCCCAACAGCATGGCTGCCTGAGTCCGCAGAACTGCCCTCTCATTTCTCTAGGGCACCTTCTGGGGACCTGTGAGTCCTGCACTCAGCTACTCCCATGGAAGAGGTCAGACCAGGCCACCGGCCCCGCAGGTGAGGACCCTGCCCGGGGCACCGCTGACCATTCCTAACCATGGAGGTGCAGAGATCCTAGCCAGGAGCCACTCTTGTTGAGCGTGGGGCCCAGTTCCGTCTTCACCCAGCAGCTTGGTCCTGCAGCGCCCCCTGATGGGGCGGTGGGTCCTGGACGTGGCCTTTGTGTGGAAGGCGGTGCTGACCCTGGGGCTGGTCCTTCTATACTACTGTTTCTCCATCGGCATCACTTTCTACAACAAATGGCTGACAAAGGTAACTGCAGGGCAGGGCCGACTGAGGAAGGAGGCCCGGGGTGAACCAGGTGTGGCCCCTACACGTGTGAATGAAGGGCTGGATGCTCCCTGGGTGTTCAGGCAGCGCCCGTGGCAGCAGCTGCTTACCAACCGTGTTGCAGTCATTGTGCTAGTCTGCTCTGGGTTAGCCTCGGGGAGGAGCTGGAGCACCCTGGGTCTGCCAGCCACTCTCGAACCCACAACTAGCCATCTCACATCCCAGGTGACAGTGAGGCGGGTGGGAGCCCCACAGACACTGCAGAGCACTTCGTCCAAGAGACCAGGGCTGGGGGATGAGGGTGGGCAGCGGTCTGAGCAGAGGGGGGTCCTGTGCTTGGATCCGAGCAGAGCTTTCACTTCCCGCTCTTCATGACGATGCTTCACCTGGCTGTCATCTTCCTCTTCTCCGCCTTGTCCCGGGCCTTGGTACAGTGCTCCAGCCACAGAGCCCGCGTGGTGCTGAGCTGGACCGACTACCTCAGGAGAGTGGCCCCCACAGGTGCGTGCCCGGAGAGGGCCAAGAGCAGGAGAAAGCCCACCACCCCTCTCTTCCCCGCCTCCCCATGCATCTCTGCCTCTCACACGTTTCCAGCCACCCCCACACATGTGACGCAGCAGACAGCTGAGTAGTGGAGATGGATGCTGTCCCCCCTGCCATAACGTGTAATGGGGGAGATGGGACTGAGACCTGAAGGAGGAGGGTTTTGCCCCTCTAGTTCTAGGAAGCAGAGACCTCAGTGTATAGGAAGAGAACTGAACGTGGGGGGAGTGAGGTGAGAGGTCTGGACCTCAGAGGTCAGCAAACTGACCTGAGTGGCTACTACCTCCCATGGCAGGCTACTGCACACCACAGACCCTGGTCAGCCTTGTCCTAATGCTGGTACGGAGATCCTCCTGGACTCTTTGGCCCAGTGTTAACCCTCAAATTACTGGATGGAGAGGAGGGCTGAGGGCTGTAGAGAACGGGTCAGAGAGGGGGGGCCGGGGGAGCATTTTGACACATGGCACAGCCTGCCAATCCACCACCAACTGATGCTGACCACACTCAACCTGACCACAGCACTGGCAACGGCGCTGGACGTGGGCTTGTCCAACTGGAGCTTCCTGTACATCACCGTCTCCCTGTGAGTCCCTCAACACCCGCCACCCTGCCCTCCTCCACCCCGGGACCTCCGGGAATCTCCAGTCCCCAGGGGAGAGAAATGGGTGTGCCATGGTCACATCCGGGTCAGGGCTCCTGTGGGCAGAGGGACACGCACAGCAGTGTTTCTTATCTCTGGGTTTTTGCTTCAGAGCAAAATCCCTGTCTTCTCTCTCGCTGTCCTCCCTGAGCTTGGTCACCTCCTGGGACAGGTGAGCTTAGCGCCACCTGCAGCTTCTCCTCCCTGGTGAGCGGCAGAAGGCGGTTAGCCACAGAGTTCTTCGATTAAAGGTCACTCCTCCACCCAAACAGCTCAGCTGGCTTCTCTCACCCTTTTGTATCGGAGTTGCCCTGCTGCCATGGGCTCAGCCAGGTCCCTCAGAGAAGCCCCCTACCACTACCACCACCACTCTACTGATGGTGGTGCTTTGGGCACTTTTGGAGGGAGCGAACTCATCATGGCTAACTGTCACTGCAGGTACACAATGACCAAGTCCTCTGCCGTCCTCTTCATCTTGATCTTCTCTCTGATCTTCAAGCTGGAGGAGCTGGTGAGGCCCCGCTGCCCTCTTGCCCCTCCTGCCCCCGCTAAGACTCAAAAAGGGACTCTGAGTAGTGGCTTGTCACTGTGTGTGACGCAGGAGACCCGCACCTGGACACAGGATTCAGGAAAGGTGGGAACTGACCCTCAGGGTGTGCCCAGAGGAGAAAGGATTCAAGGATAGAAGGGCCCCCCTTGTTGGCAAGATCCAGGCAGGGGATGAGGCACTTGGCTAGGGCAGTCCTAGGAAAGCATCTTAGTACCTGCAGCAGGTGGAGTTGTAGAGCACATGGAGCTGAATGACCAGGACCCTGAAGCAAGAGGTGAGGGGCGGGATTCTCATCCCAGGAGCAGCTAAGAAGGCTGCCGCCAACTCACCAACGTCCAGGTAGGATGAACACTTGGTCCTGGAGACCCCAGAGTTAGCTGCACCGTCCCCCTGTCCTACTAGCGAGCGGCTCTGGTCCTGGTGGTCCTCCTCATCGCCGGGGGCCTCTTCATGTTCACCTACAAGTCCACACAGTTTAACATGGAGGGTTTCGCTCTGGTGCTGGGGGCCTCGTTCATCGGTGGCATTCGCTGGACCCTCACCCAGATGCTGCTGCAGAAAGCTGAGCTTGGTGAGTCCTGGCTTCTGGGCAGGGGAAAGGCTGCAGGGACATGGGCAGCGGGGTCGTAGGGTGTGCCCTGACAATGTCCGTCTCTCCATGCTGCAGGACTCCAGAACCCCATTGACACCATGTTCCACCTGCAGCCACTCATGTTCCTGGGACTCTTCCCGCTCTTTGCCGTATTTGAAGGTACATTGGGGTGCCCCCCTCAAGGGTACCACAGTACAACAGACCCCAGGTCCCCACTTGGAACCCATGTTGTGGTAACTGCAGGCCCCCTCCCAAGTGGCAGACAGCTTGAGGCTACGGCCTACACGATAAATATACCCCCCATGCGCCACAGACCCTATGGGGAAGGTATAGTGGACGATGTGGCAGCGAATGTTTGCAGGGCCCTGCAGCTATCTCAGCGGTATTCTAGCTCTCCTAAACATACGAACTCACAGAATTTTCACAAAAACCCTAGCATGCTGGCACAATTACTATCCCATTTTACAGATGAAAGAACCTCAGCCTACGAGAAGTAGAAACACTTAGTCCAAGGTCCCCTGGCCTGTAAATAGCTAGAATTCTGGCCTCACAGCCTGGCTCCAGAGTCCTCCTGCTGTTGCTACTGCCTCTGAGAAGGAGCAGTGAGTTGTGAATTATTTCAGGGTGGTGGAGGAATGTTGATGTTCTTAAGTGCTTTCAAGTTGGTTTTGACATATAGCGACCATGTCTGGTAGCATGGCAGTTACAAATCAGTCTGCTAACCTCAAGGTCAGCAGTTCAAAACTACCAGCCATTTCACTGGAGAAAGATGAGGCTTTCTGCTCCCATAAAGACTTACAGCCTCAGAAACCTATACAGGGTCGCTATGAGTCGGCACCAACTCCACGGTGCATAATTACCACTAGCAACCATGTGTAACGTTTCTAAGGAGCACCGCCAGCCTTGTAGTTCGCAGTGCAGTGCTTATCCTACAGCGCCACACCAGGACTCCTGGAGGGGTGGACCAAGACATAAAGACTTCTGGGCGCTATGTTCTTTAGGACGAAAGGGGTTCAGAACAGGTTCTTGAGGTATATCACAGCAAGTGCGAGGGGATTTCAAAAAGTTTGGGGGGCAATTCCATTCTGTTTTATTTGAAGTCCCATGTGTATGCGGTTGGGAATACAGGCCTTTCAGGATTGACCAAAGGGTGCAGGGCTGAGGCACAAGAGTCTAGGGAGGTGGGCAGTTGTTGCTTGTCACCTTTACCGTCCAAGACAAGAAGCGAGACGAGGGGGAACGGCAGGGTGTCGCACGTTGGAAGATGCTGCCTTCCCACTGCGGTGTTTTGAGATTAAGTCAGTCCCTGGGTTACAAATGAGATCAGTTCCTAAGTGTATCTTTTAAGTTGAATTTGTAGGTGAGTCAGAACAGGTGCATATGGTTCCTTACTGAAATGCAAGAAAAAGGCTTGATGCCTTTTCATTGATTTAAAAGCTTCGTGGCGGCTCCAAACAATAAACACTAGACTGCGAACCACAAGGTTTGTGGTTCGAGCCCTCCAGCAGCTCCACAGGAGATGGATGAAGCTTTCTGCTCCCACTAAGATTTCAAATGCCTCAGAAACCCTATACAGGGTCACTATGAGTCAGAAGTGACTTCAGGGCACTTAGCAACAACAACAAAAACATGCAGCAAGTGTAGGTGAATTTGTTGAGTGGAGGCTGGTCGCAGTTTCAAAGTGAGGCAGATCTACACGACGTTAAACGGCAAGTACACGTTGTAAGTGTAACCGGGGACTGCCCGTAGCCTTTGTCCCCTCACAGTTGTCCTGTCTGTCCTCAGGGTCATTACAGAAAACCTGTCCCACATCCCACAAGCAGTGAAGCGTCTCGAACCTCCCTGAGAAAACGATTCCTCAGCTCGTTGTCTAGGAAACTTCCTTCTGCAGCCTCGGTTTTCCCCTTAAGAATCTTTCCCCTTTCCTTCCCTATGCCACACTCTCTCTCCCTTCTGGGGTGTTTACAGCCGTCCCCATTGCTGCAAACCCTCATCCGAAAGCCTCTGTTACTCATCACTTAGCCAGGCAGCATGGATTTAGCTCCTTTAATCTTTTCTGGTAAATTAATCCCCCAAGCGCCTTCATTACTTATGTTGCTCTTCCCGACTTCCCTTCAATTTGCCGACGCCTTTGCAGTACTGCTGAGCCCAGCACCAAACAAGATGTCCTACATAGTGTACCTCCGTGCCTGCCTGGGGGGGAGCTGTCATTCAGCATTTCTCTGGTGATTCCCTCCAAAATTCCCCAAATCTGCCTCTGGCCTCAGCAGGTGGAGGGGGAGGGCGATGGGGGTGCTCACCTTTACCCCCTGGAGTCCTCTCTGATGAACAGCCATGAATCTCCTGAAATTCTAAGCAGAATCTGGTGTGTATGGATGTTTGGATGTTTCTGGAGCCAGGGGCTAATATGTTTATAGATGTGGGTGGGTATGTATTTATAATTCTTTTTTTTCTTTTTGAGAAACAGTCATCAAATTCTGTTGCCTGTTTGAGGGACACTGGTCTAGTCCCAACCTTCTTATGTCATCAATTCAGAAAAGGGACAGAACTCAGCTCAAGTCCCACAGCCTGGATTAAAGTAGAAAGTGTGGCAGGAATGGAGTTTTGTTCCTGGTTTATAGAGAGTCTCCCTCATGGCCAGGTAGTCTTTACTGGACAGTGGCCCCATTTCTCTGCAGCCCACTAGTTGTCACCAGTAGAGGCCACATGAAGTCACCATCTCTTGCCCACCTCTGCCCAAGATTCTGTCTTGAGCAACTGTGCCCATCTCTGCTCCAGCCCCGAGGCTCTCTGGCAGCCATCGCTGGTCCCCGGTCTCTCACGTATCAGGCCACCTGTGTGGGCATGCTGTCTCCCTCCCTCCCACCTCCTTAGCTCAAGAAGTGAACACTGTGTTGACGACAGGCCTCATTAGCTGGTGGCCGGGGGCAGGTACACCTAGGACTCACCCCGCCCCCAACCTCCCTTCTCTCCCTGTTGCTTCAGGTCTTCATTTGTCCACATCGGAGAAAATCTTCCGTTTCCAGGACACGGGGCTGCTTCTGCGGGTTCTTGGGAGCCTCTTCCTTGGTGGGATTCTCGCCTTTGGTTTGGGCTTCTCCGAGTTCCTCCTCGTGTCCAGAACCTCCAGCCTCACACTCTCCATTGCTGGCATTTTTAAGGTACAGACTTGTTGGTGACCTCCCTCCTGCCGTAGAGGGGAGTTCCCTAAGGGTGTTACTCAGGCAGCAGCTCCTGCTGCCAGGGCCCTGTGGATAAGACACTGAAGTGCCCGTTGGTGCTCACATCTGTGTCCCCTATCACCCTCACTGCAGCCCGTGAGGTGGGCCTGCTTGCCCTGTTTCACAGCTGGAGAGCAGACACCAGAGCTGGGCCTGCCCAAGGGTGGCAGCTCAGGATGGCTGAGCTGAGATTCAAGGTCAGGTCAGACAATGTTAGACCTGGCATGCATTTACATATTTCCCTGAATGCCAGCTCTAATCAAGTAGCAGTGGCTCCCAGCCACAGAATGAGAAACCACCATTCAGATTCATCATTTAAAAGATTCATGATTGATTAGCAATGTCTGCCATGGGCACAGTAACAGGTAGTTATACCCTGAGCATGTTTGGCCTGGGTTTGCCCATCTTGCCTATTTGCCACCTAGCAGCCTCTACCCTTCTCTTCCTTGTTCCCCTCCCACTCTCCTCCTCTCTTTACTTCTGCCCTTTCCCTCCCATCACCTATTCACCCCGCTCCTTGCTCAGGCTGGGAGGAGTCTTTTCCTTGACTGAACAGGCCCCAAGATGAGAGTAGTGTTACTGACACCATCGATGCCTTTTCCTCTGAGCTCCAGGAGCCTTCCTTCCCACCTCGCTCCCCCAGGCCGGTCTGCCCCACCCCTCACAGGCCCTGGCCATGGGCCTGGCCTCCCCCTTGCATCAGAGCCAGTTCCCCTGAGCTGACATTTCCTCCTTGCATCTCTGGCCCAGGAAGTCTGCACTCTGCTGTTGGCCGCACATCTGCTAGGCGATCAGATCAGCCTGCTCAACTGGCTAGGCTTCGCCCTCTGCCTCTCGGGGATCTCCCTGCACGTCGCCCTCAAAACCCTGCACTCCAGAGGTAACCAGCCCTGACCCCCCAGCCCCCACCTTCCAGGAAGAGCCGGCCTGGTGCCCTTTCACACAGTCCCTCTGCCTCTGTCTTGGCTGTTCCTCTGGCTCAGGGAGCAGGCCTGGTGGGTGCCTGGGGGCCACAGAACTTTGGTGGGTCTGTAACTGCGGCCTCTCTCCCCTTAGGTGGCCCAGAACCCTTGAAGGGACTGGGCTCCAGCCCTGACCTGGAGCTGCTACTCCGGAGCAGCCAGCAGGACGAAGAGGACAATGAGGAGGAAGAGTACTTTGTGGCCCAGGGACAGCAGTGAGCAACCAGGGGGAGCCCCTGGAAGCAGGCCGACCCCCTGGCTCCCACCTCACAGGCTGCAGCTCACAGTGGGCCCTATGGTTCTTCACAGGGAGTCGCCCGTCGGGTCCTTAGAGACAGTGTGGTCGTGTGGCAGAGGTAGCTCAGGGACCTGGGACTCCTTCCGTTCCCGGCAGAACTTGACCAAACAGAGTGGACCCAAGCCAGGTGGTCCAGGACCTGACCTGAACTGGGCCCGGTCACTCCAGAGGCCTAACCAGGTGTCAAGGTCCCCAGGTGTGTGCCGCACAGCAGTTGGGAAGGGAGATGGAGTTGCTGAACCTCATCACCTGGAGAGCATCTCTGCTCATAGAGCAGGTTTATTTATAGTTGGAAATCAATGGTTTACACTCCACTGGCCACCTCCAGTTGCCTGAAACCCATTCTCACTTGGCCTGGAGGTGTGGAGGCAGGGAGGGTGGGTGTGGAAACCACCAGTCATAATCCAACCTCCTGATATCTTGGGATCCTTTCTGAGCCCTAGTGCCCACTCCTCGGGGCCCCCACCTCCACAGACAGGAATGAGAGGACTGCACCTGCATTCTCAACCTGGATTTGAATCCCAACTTGGTCATTTACTAGCTGTGCAACTTTAAACAAGTGACTTAGCTTCTCTGTGTCACCGTTTCTTCATCTGTATAATGAGGATCTAGTGCATAACCATTACAAAGATTTAACGAGTCAACATTGGTAACAGAGGAAATGTTAGATGTTTATTTTTTAAAATCCTTTTGACAACCAAGAAATCTTACAAAAGATCAAGAACTTACTAAGCGAGTAGCAGAGCTGGAATTCAAGCTCATATGTATCTTCCTCCAGCATCCATTGATGTCCCAGGCACTGGAGCTTCTACTTGGCCATCTCAGACAAGCCACTCCACCTTTCAAGACTGCAGTCCTCCCTGCAACGAAGAGCGGTGGCAGGACCCCAGACCCATTTGTGATGGTCTGTGGTTGGAACCCTGGCCTGTTCCTCTGCTTGTTCCCAGGGAGGAGGACAAAAATAAATCCCATCTGCAGGCAGGAAGGAGTCCTGGTGTGGTGCTGTAAGATAAGCACTGAACTGCAGCGTCGGCAATTCAAATTCAGCTGCTTCTCAGATGCCCTATATGGGGTCGTTAAGCGTTGGCACTGACTGGCGGTTAACACTCAGGAGTACTTTCAGGCACTCACAGCAGGTGGCGACATTGCACCAGACCTGCTGCACCCAGGCCTGGTCTACAGGGAGTCCCCTTAGCCGAGGCCAGGCAGGTTCCTGTAGAAATGGGCTTAGGGAAGAGGGCAATGGAAGTCCATGGGGAAACTCAGCTGAGGCTCATTATAAAGTTGTTCTGTTCATATTGGAACCACTAGAGCTCAGTCAGTGATGATCTGTAATACTTTAGAAACGGGTGGGTAGACTTGGTAAAGGGTCAGAAAGTAAATATTTCCCATCTGGGGCCATAGGGTGTCTATCCCAGTTCCTCCACCCTGCTGCTGTACAGGCAAGCAGCCACAGAGCAGAAACCCGCCAGCTTGTGTGGAAATGCTCAGGCATAGTGCTGGGAGGGCGGGGGAGGGGCCCTCCTGCATCTGGTGTTGCAATAAACACATGCAGGCAGTGGCCCCTGATGCCACAGAATCCTTTAAAGTGATTGAGTCCTGGTCTCTCTTTTGCAGACAGGGAAACTGACCTAGGTGGGAGCTATGACTAGTCTGAGGTTTCCAGAGTCTTGCTGCTCTGGAGAAATTAGGACCAAGATCTAATGGATTCAGGTTCACGCTGCAGGCTTCTTCAACACCAAGGGCTCCTCTGAGCTGGTACCTGATCTGGTTCCTGCACTTCTGTGTTTCCTCAACTCCCCCACACCCCAAATTCTTCAAACTCAGAGGCCAGGTTTGAAGGAAGTGGAATTCTGCAGCCAACAAGGGCCTTCCATCCTCACCTCTATCCCAGAGCCGCGCTGCTGCTCAGGTGGCGGAGTTTCCTGTCTGCTCGGCCACCCCTCCCAGCACCAGGAGCAAACACTGCTGTCTGGTGCAGTAATTACAGGGTGCAGAGTGGGGGGCCCTCGCTGCACACGTTGGGTTCAATGACAGCCCTCCACTTAGTGGCAATTACAGCCCGCCTAGAGGAGGGCTCCCTCTCCTCCTCCCCCACCCAGCCCACCCAATTGCCTGGCCTCCACCCTGGGCACGGAGCCTTAGAACCATCCATGCCGTCTGCAGCCATTGCATCTCAGGCCTGCAGTGTCGCCATGGCAACTCTTGCCCAGGTTGAGGGAAGCTGAGGATGTGACTTGTCTCTCCAAGGCTGTGGTGACTGTCCCCACGCAACTTCCAGCTCCAAGACTTCTACACAACAAGGAGGAGGGAGGAGGGCTGACCTGCAGGTTGCAGCTTTAAGTGCTTACATGCCCACCACCTCTCCCAGGAGCCTGCGGTGGGTGGAAGGTTAATGCTCACAATATCTGAAGACATCTGCAATGGGGTTGTGGGGATGAGAAATAGACTGGAGTTGGCTGTGGGAGAGACCTGAGGTACCAGGCAAGACCTGGAATAGCTTCATCTTTATTTTTGGCCCTGTCCTGAGAGTTTGGGATCAGCCCTCTGTACCACTGATAAAAACCTGGAGTAACGCAGTGGTGTTTGAGTGTAGTCACATGGCACCAAGAGATTTCCCTTCCTGGGTACTTGAAGCTCCCTGCATCAGGGACTGATGATGCACCGAATTAGGCCTCCCAATTTGCAGTCCAGAGACCCTAGGGTGGGACTCCCAGATCATCAATTTGGGTTGACAGTAGTCAGTACTGGCAACATGCCAGGCACATTGTCGGACTCAGGGACAGAGAGACTTGTCCTTGGAGAGATGGCAAATGGAACCATCCTCCTGCCAGCCCTGGGAAGTGTTGAGACCAGGGGAGACAGGGATGGGGAGGGACCATCCACTGAACAGCCTTTGTTAAATGCCATCTAGTGCAGTCCAACTCAGTGACCATGTATATATAGGGTTTCCAAGGAGTGGCTGGTAGGTTTGAACCGCCACTTTTGCACTTAATTGTTAAGTGCCTTTAAGTCGGTTCTGACTCATAGCAATCCTGTACAGGGTTTTCCGAGGTACAGCTGCTGGTGGGTTTGAACTGCCGACCTCAGGTTCACAGTCCAGTGCTGATCCTACAACACCTCACCAAGACCCCAAATACCCTTTGTTGCTGTTGTTGTTATGTGCCATGGAGTTGGTTCCGACTCATAGCGACCCTGTACAGGGTTTCCAAGGCTGTAAATCTTTATGGGAGTAGAAAGCTTCATCTTTCTCCCACAGAACAGGTGGTAGTTTCCAACTGCTGACCTTGCGGTTCGCAGCCCAATTCATAACCACTACGCCACCAGAGCTCCTTTGTTGTTGTTGTTAAGTGCCTTCGAGTTGATTCCGACCCATAGCAATACTGTATAAGGTTTCCAAGGAGCAGCTGGTGAGCTTGAACCACCGACCTTGCAGTTCACAGGGCTTTGCAGTCTGGCACATTAGCTGATAGCGCCACACCAGGACTCCAGGACTGGGGATTGTTGTTGTTATGTGCCATGGAGTCGGTTCCGACTCATAGCGACCCTGTACAGGGTTTCTGAGGCTGTAAATCTTTACAGGAGCCGAAAACCTCTTCTTTCTCCCGTGGAACAGCTGGTAGTTTCGAACTGCTGACCTTGTGGTTTGCAGCCGATTCATAACCACTACGCTACCAGAGGCCCTCTCATATATGTTGTCTGATCCCTCACAGCTCAGGACAGTGAAATCGATTGTACTCTCTTCATAGAAATTGCACTCCTAAAGAACAGGCATGATAGTGGCTCCGATTCTGGGCTCCATTGACATGGATTGGAATCTTCTCACTGCCCCATAATAGCTGTGCAATCGTGGGCATGTTGCCAGAACCCTCTGAGCGTGTTCCCTCGTCTACAAAGAAGGAATAATAATGTATATTCCTTAGCGAAGCTGTTGTGAAGATGAATGAAATGTACGTGAAACACTTAGCACAGTGTCAGGCACGTAGTAGTTACCACTCAGGAATATGTAAGCGAAGTGAGCCCTGCTGGCACAGTGGTTACATGCTTACCTGGTAACTGAAAAGTTGCAGTTCAAGCCCACTAGCCGCTCTTGAGGAAAAAGATGGGACCGTCAACTTCCATAGAGATTAACAATCTCAGAAACCCTGTGGGGCAGTTCTACTCTGTCCTATGACGTCACTACCAGTCAGCTAAGTTTGGTTTGGGGCTTTCCATGTAAGTGACAGTGATTTTAATATAACTTGCCCAAATGGCACAGCAAGATAGAGGGGCAAACATAGGGACCCCAGTTTTTGAGGTCACCATCCTTGCTACAATACAATGCCTAGCACAGAGGAGGGCTCTAAATAATTGATCTGTGAAGGAAGTTCTGACAGTGGAGAGGGAGTTTGCAGGTTTCAAAGACAATCTTAGCATAACGATTACTAGTCAGGCTGCTAACCTCAAGGGCAGCAGTTCAAAACTACCAGCCGTTCCATAGGAGAAAGATGCGGCTTTCTGCTCCTGTAAGCTTTACAGCCTCAGAAACCCTAGGCAGGGTCGCTCTGAGTCGGAACCGACTCCACAGCACACCACCACCACCACCAGAGACACTGTAACAATTCTAAAGGATCCACCCTGTAAACACAGGCTGTTCCTACAATCACCACCCATTGTTCCTAGCCACCTCACTGAGCCTTCACCCTAAACACTGCCCTGACATCAGTTGGCCTCTCTGCCCCTACTTTGCAGTAACCAGTTAGCTTGACTTCTGTTCCCATGGTTATTTACAGTTTCATTGGCAACTAGTACATTTCAGAGAAACAGGCCCCAAGCCTCAGAGCAGGGTTCTCCGTTTCTCCTGATTGCCTGCTGAGGATTCTCTTAACGGGACAGCAGCAGGACAGAACAGAGACACAGAAGGTGCATTGAAACGTATTCA